TATTATTATTATTATTATTATTATTATTATTATTATTATTATTATTATTATTAATATTAATATTATTATTAATATATTTTTTATTTTTTTATTTATGTACATACATATGTATATATCCTTGTATATATATTTATTTGTTGTCTCTCTCTCTCTTTTTTTTATATTATAAAAATATGTAATTTGGTGATTAAATCTGGATCCTGGTCCAATAAGGGTATCAACCCAGGTGCTTATTTATCCAATTAGTCAAATGAACGCCTGAGGCCAATTGCACCAGGTTGGAAAGATAAGGCCTCCAGCAGCTTTTACTCCCAGACGACAACCGGGAGGGGGGAAGGTGCTGCTATTGCTTCGCCCTGAGCGCGGCTGCGGAATTGCCAACAATACTTTAGAAGGTTTCCAAATACAATGAGAGGCTCTGAACAGGCTGGTAAGGCCTGTTTTAGTGAGCTAGAAAACACTCGCAGCCGAGAAAGAGGCCGGAGAAATTAAAATGGCGCCCGACCACGAGGTGGCGCCCAAAATGGCGGCCGCCTACAGGTCTGAATGTCAGGGCCGCTCAGGACGGAATTGGGCCCCTCCGGCAAGCCTAGAATGGTGAGAGGGGCAGCGAGGAAGAATTCGCCCCTTCCTGGGACGATCGGTGTTCGTGGGTGGGGGGAAAACCAGCGGCGCTTTGGAGCACTAAATTCAAGCCGCTAACGAGGGCGGCATGGAAAGCGGCAGGAATAACAGCTCGAAAGGGAATCTGGGGGGGGGTGTTTAGCGCCAGAGCACTGGTAAGCCGCCCGCTTTTTTTTTCCCCTGGGGGCGATGAACGCGCTCCCCTGAGTCTGTAGATAAAACCTAATTGCGCAGAGGCTAGGGAAAGGAATATTAGAACAAACCTTCAAGCGATCCTGAATCGGCCAAGGAGCTATACAAAACAACAGCCTAACTTTCACGAGGCTGAGCATAAACTGGGGAACGCTGTAATGGAGCCACGTGATGGAAGGAGGAACGTTCCTCAGTAATTAAGCTCAGCCTACAACAACGCAGACTGAAGCACCTCCCACTCTCTGGATGATCCGAGCAGCTCTAAGGAGAAAAAAAATCTCTGTTACAAGTGCATGAAAGATGGTTAGATCTATGAAAGAGCCTATTGAAAAGTTTAGTTGACACTGGATTAGTTATCCAAAGTACAGTTGCTTATACAATAATGGTGTGCATGGGAATGTTATCAGAAGGAAACCTTTTCTCTGACCTCTTCACAAAAGACACCATTTAAAATAGCAGAAGAAAACATTGACAAGCTTGAAATGTTTTGATAGAAAGTGCTTTGAACTAATAACCACATTCACAAGATACATTTGGAAGTAAGAAGTAATCATTTTTGAAGAAAAACTTAATGATCCAATAAGAATGGAGCTGGCTCTATTATATTTGGGGTTGTATGGCAGCAGCTTATGGAATTAACTAAATATCCATATGCTGTCCAACCTCATGTTCTATAACTGAGAAAACTGAAGTTGAAAAATGATCATATATTTCATTATAATTATGACATGAAAGAAGCTTCCATATCAATACTTACAGGAAATAAAGATAAAGGTTTTGGGGTGGCTGTCACAGTTCTCAAAAAAGAATATTTTTGAAAATGTGAGGGAAAAGATCCCAAACATGTCACACCCAATCAGCCCTAAGAAAGAGGTAAAACACTTCCAAGAGGAGGAAGAGAAGTGGAGGAGGAGGAGGAGAGGTGGAGGTGGAGGAAGAAAGAAGAAGACACTTCCCTGGCTTCGTTAAATGTTTGTTATTTTTGTCAAAGAATTACAAAGTACAGGCTGAAGAGTATCTTGATTTTTGTACCAGTTTTCTTGTTCTTAATCTGTAAATAGCTGCATATAAACAGTAATTATGCATTCAAATTTACAGTAAGATGGCCTGTTTAGGTTTGTATCATGTAGAGCTTGTGTCAGCTTCTGTTTGCTTGGGGATTCACTAAAACATATAATTTCACTAGAGATGCCTACATCAACTATAATGCAACTATATATTTTTTTGTTTTTGAAGAAAAAAAATCACAAATTATCTTCCAAAATATCAAAACAGACTTAATTCTATTAATTGAAACTTCAATTATGTCCATGTTAAATGAAGCCCCAGGCCGCTGTCTGCCTCAAACTAAAGGAAAGTTTAGCTTCTTATTCTCTGTGATCAAAGTCAATCACTTCCACTCAGTTCATTCATTCTCATAAAATTGCTAAGTGTGGTCTGAACTCCATCTGTACTTGCCTTTTTGCTTCTGGGTCAGCAGAGCTGAGCTGGTGTTGGCTGCAGTAGAAGCTCTCACATTTGTTGGAAGCCAGTGTCCACTGAGAAGGTGAGAACCTAGTGACTGTCCCTTGTTCCATTCTCTCTCACGGGATAGGTGGCTTTGCCGGTGCAAAGCCATCTGCTGGAATGTACCAAAAGTCCGGTTACAGTCTGGGCAGCAATGGTTCCCTCCTGAGTCTTCTCTCACAAGCTTGGACCCTACTACATAAGAACGTTCCCGCCACTGCTGGCTACTCTCCACGGCACGAGCTGTGGCCTGCAGTCGTTCAGCACAGCTCGCATCACTGTAACTCAGGAAAGTGCCCATACTGGCTTTATCTGTGGGCCGAGGAGAGAGGAGAGATGGATACAGGGCCTCACAACCCACGAGTAAACTCTGTGCTGACCGTCCTGGTCCTCTTTGTTCACTCTGGAGGCCCAGCTTGCTGAGATGAACCTTCATGTGGTTTTTCAGGAACCATGGTTCCTTGAAGCCACGCCCACACACCTGGCACTTATGGTCAAAGGAGTCTTTGTGCTTCCGCATGTGACCCTTAAGGAACCAGGACTGGGTGAAGGCTTGACCACAGACCTGGCAGCGGAATTCCGTAGGGGTAGAGGCAGAGGAAGAAGGGGTGAGTGTGGAAGCAGGAGGGGTGGGTGGAGCTGTAGTGGTGGGCACAGGGGCAGGAGGGGTGGGTGTCCAAGCTGCTGGGGTGTTATGTGCCTGTTGGTTGTGCCACTGAAGTTCTGACTCCTGTGTGGCAGCGAAAGAACATTGCCCACACTTGTACGGCTGATGGAGGATGCGAAGGTGGCGCTCGCGTTCCCCTGCAGTGCGAAACTTGCCCTTGCAAAAAGAACAGTGGAAGGTGGGTAGAGGTCGGGGTTGAATAGGAGCAGCCATTTCTTCTTCCTCCTCTTCCTCTTTTTTCTCTTCTTGACCCCGCAGAAGTGCCCGCTCTTCCAGTTCCAGCAGCAGTCGGCTCTGGTGACTGAGCCGGGTTTGGGCCTCAGGACAATGGGAGCGCAAATGGAGACGTAAGCTGGCACGTTGCCCTGCCTGGTGGCCACAGTAGGGACAAGTGAGTGGATAGGAGCTGGTGTGGATGCGGGTGTGCAATGCCAGGATGCTGTTGAAGCGGAAACGCTTGCCACAGATAGGACACGGATAAGGACGAGCCTCCCCTCCTGATCCCCCTGGCCCATTAGAGTAATGTTGTAAGTCCAGCTCCCCATTGAAAGCCATAATGTCAGCTTCATCACTGGAAGACGAGGAAGGAGAAGGAAGGGCAACACTGGCTGAGTTGACAGAAGGCAATTGGTAATCTGCACCCTGTAAGAAGGAAGAGGTAAAGAAGAACGTTAAAACCTTCATAATGAATCATTTCTTTTCCTAAGTCTGTTTTTCAATCAACGATGTAGCACAGGGCTATCAAACTGGCGGCCCGTGGGCCAGGTGCATCACGCGCACCCCACCCCACCCCGACCAAGGGAAAAAATGCCATGATACATTACATGATGGCAATGTGACATGGCAAGTTTGACACCAGTGATGTAGCTTGTTGGTACAGGAAAAGAATGACATTAACGCTTTGGATTTCCCTCAATGCAGTTTGCTGGTGACTGGCATGCAGTCTTTGTACAAAACAAAAGGAACCCTTCTGTCCTCAGCCAGCAACCTTTCTACTCAGCATTTTGCAAAGCAGAGGCTGAGAGAAAAGCAACCAAATAACTTTCTTTCCTATGTAACTAGAAAGCAGAAGTTTTGCTTTATTGTTAGAGGAAATAGGAAAATGGAGACTCCCAAGAGCAGGTGTCCCAATTTCCTTCCCTAAGAGCATTTTGGAAAATCTATCAGCACTTAGAAATAAATCTGTGGGTCAACAAAAACCTGATTGAATTTGGGGAATTATATCCTGTGATAAGACAGTAAAACATGGTTGTGAACCAAAGAATGGGTAAGAACTTCACACAAGTCAGTGAACAAAAGAGAGAGAGGGGGACATACATAACTAAAGTGCAAAACAAATTTAATAGGATTGTAAAATCTTCCTCAAAGGCAAACCTAAGGAATCATTTTAGGTTTATAGTAAAATATTAGAAAAATATTATTAGGATTTCTTGTTTCTCCCTTTTTATTTCACTTAATTGAATAGATTGGAACTATCCCATTATGCTCAAGAATTCTCTAGTCGAGATGGGACTTGTGTTATCTTGCTTATATTATACTTGTGTTATCTTGCTTATAAGACTCTGATTTCTACTACACTATGTCTCATTCCAACCCCAACTAATACCAAGAGTTCTATGTGACAGGCACGAACAATAAATCCACACATGAAGTGTCAGGGTTCCAAGTAATAAATCCATAGCAAGCACAACTTCGAGGCAGGAAGATTCCTCAATATTTTTATTGGAAATATTATATTGGCACATACCTGGTGAAAACCAACTCTGAAAACTCGCATGATTTTTACCTAATTAAAATATTTTCTACTTTCTCAAAACAAACAGTCACTTAGTCCAATCACTGTGCGGTCTGGCAACCAGGTAGCATCACTCCACCTTCCTCCAAACAGGTGTGAGAACGTCCTTGGTTCCCAAGAGAAAATATTTTGTGTTGACTTCAAAATCCCCTCTATCACAAGTCCCCCCTCCCTATCCCTCAGTTCCAGTGTGGCAACACTGAAGCGGTCAAAATGGTTTCGGTCAGGCCAGCTTCAAGGTTGATATGAAAAGTTCAATTCTCTATTTTATTGCTCATGCCTGTAACACAGGAATCTTCTCAGACTGCCGATTTGCATTTAGGCCAAGCTACATAAGTCCAATGGCATTCAAGAGTAGTCAGATCTTGCCCTCTTGTGCCTACATAGAGATCCCAGACTAATTCCTTGTTTGACTCCTTTGCCGGTCTCTCTCTAACATGAGAAGAAGCTTGTAGCAGGCAAGCTGAAAAAAGCTCCTGTACCTGCTAGCTATGAATTGCAATGGCAATATTTTGTTAAGTTGTGTGGTTTTTCTTTGAATATTTAATGGTAATCTAGTTGTTAACCATTCTGGAAAGAAGAGTATCCATAAAAGTAAGATATAATAATTAAAATCAGTAATATATAAATACATCTTCTCCATCTTGCCCCTATTTCCAGATTCAATCAATTTTGAAAGTCAGTATTTCACCAAGGGGGAGCCAAGAGAACTTGGATCATTACCAAGTTAATTTCAGGTGAGCTTAGAATAATTTACTGTGATAATTCTCTAAGGAAGAGAGGGAAATCATTTCAGGAGTTCCCCATTCTGTTATATTCACCCGTGGTTTTATGACTCAAGCCACTCACCTCCATGGTGTTCCTGATCACATGCTTTAATCCTTGACTGATGATGGAACAGCCAGTGAGAGCCAAGTTGACATGTCACCCTTGTTAAGTAGACGCATCAGCTGCAACAAAGAGTGGATGAAAGGTAAATGTTTTATCAACTAAGGCTGAGACTACTTTGAAATTAAAAACAACTATGCTCATACTACAATATGATTAGTTCATATTTGGCCTCTGTGTTGCTCAATCCAACCAACAGTGATATGTTCTGTAAACTATAATTATCAAAGTGTGGCTCAGAATGGTGAACACACTAGGCCAGTATTTGATAAGTATGGAATTTTCATCCACATATGCTCCACCTTAACTTAATTTGTTCTATAGTTAAACCCCAGGTATGTGTGGAATAGTACTAAATATCCATGAAATTATCCAGAGTGTAATTTCTTTGCTACTGGTACACAGTTGAGGTCCTTCACATATCAATCATAAGTCTTCCAGTCCAGTGAAAGGATTGTTTCCAGATGGAACTGAGATCCAGCATAACTTTAAAAACAGAAGCATGGCTCTTGGAAACCAGCTCCACTGGACTCCTTTCTCAAGCAACAAAGACATAAATGGAGGGCGGCTATCAACTGACTTGAAAGATCAAGTCCTTCAGTTTCTTCCCTAAACCATATGATTTTAGTACTATAGTACTATTTCACTTAATGGATGCCTGCCCTGTTTTTTTTCTACTTTCCTCAACATCCCCTTTCCTTCTTTTTAAATTGTAAATTTGCAATGAGGATCCATTTTTTCAATAAATAAATAAGATTTTGTCCTGATGTTATCTAGAGACTGCAAAGGAAAATGAAAACATTTTAAATACTGATGTGACACAACCTGACAATCTTTAGTTCACTGTCACAAAATAATTGCTTTATAGAAAGCTGGCAAGAATTTTATCTGCAGTGGATCTTTGACAAATATTTCCTGAGTTGTCAAAACAGAAGGAATTCAGCAATAAGAAACCTGGAAGAAAGACCTCCACATAAAATATTTTCAGATTGTAATTGGAAAATCTTTGTCCATTGCAAGAAAGTATTCCAGCCTTTGATTTCCAGTTTCCCTAACCGTTTTATATTTGCTGAAGGCAAGTTAAAACCAGGCAGAAGGAGGAAGCAGATGTGAATAACAATGCAAGAGAAACTAAGATGTATCGCCTTTCATTATTCTCCATCTCATGCAAATATTAAAAGATATGTAAGAAAGGACAGTATCTCCAGTTCAGTCTTAGTTGCTGTGATACTATAATCGATGACAAGTTTTAATCAAATCCGTGAAAACTGATTCCACTGAATCTTCCAAAGAAAAATTTGTGAGATTCAGATAAACATTTTTTGGATTTGTTCTTTGAAGTGGAAAAAAAATCAACATTTCAGTTTATGATCATGAAACTCAACTGACTACATTGGGCAAGTCATGATTTGCATAAGAATTAAGGAGGCCTGTTGGAGAAAAACTGGAATACCACTCAGATCTCTACCTTAAGAGCTTTGATGTTACCAAATATTCCCAGTGCTTCAAAGAATCTCACAATGCAAGCTTTTGCTTTGCACAATTCAACAGAGGGTACCCTTCCCCCCCCCCCCAGTATTTTTGAGTAACAGAAAACCCAACTTTCCTGAGTTAATGCCAATAAAAGGAGCCCACACATTGGAAACTCAAAAAGGGGGATATAAATTGTGTTGATGACATCTGTTACTTGAGGGCCTTCCATTGAAGTAATATCTCTTCTGAATAATATATGTTCTTGTTCCAGAGATATTCTAAAATATTATATGCAGGTTTGGCTTATAGTCTCTTCCTCCTCCTCTTAATATTAGCATACCTCAACAATAGCAGGGAATGGTCACAGGCAAAACCATCACCAGCAGAAGGGAATAATAAACAGTAGCTTTTACAAAAAATATTGTTTTGGCTGTGAAAAACATTTATACAAAGTTATGAGCAAGAAAGAAATAGGGCAGCTGAAGGAAGGGAAACAGTGAGCTGGCAAGGGTGTGTCTATGGAAGAAAAAATAGGACATCTAGAACTAGAGATAAATCTAAGGAAGCAGCAGATAAAGTAAAAGATGGAGGATTGTTCAAGGGAGAGAAGTGCTGCTGACATGTGGGTCTCTTACTAACTGCTTTCTATAAGTCAAAGTTTGATCATATGAAAATAAATGCCAGGAAATTCTGGGTAGAGACATACATCTGGGCAAAGTTACATATGTATGATACGCCCCAATATGTATGATATGCAGGTGTGCTCTGTTTGACATGGGATGCCCCATCTCACCCCATTTCGCCTCAGGCAGTGTCATCTTTACAATTATATTCATCTGGATCTCAATCTCCAGATGTTCAGAAAAGATTTCTGGAATTCTTGCAGCCTGTACTTCTTTTGTGACAAATACGCTAATTGTGAATGAAAGCCTTAGCTAGCCATGCTCCAGCAAAAATGCACTATGTGTATCCAGTTTACAATCCAAACTGGAGTGAGGCAGGAGCTATACAAGAAAATTAAGGTACTTGATGAAAATGGGTGTGGTGGACACATTTCTTTATGTATAATTTTGTTAACTTCTTCCAATAAGCTAAAGAAGGCATACAGTCATGTGAAAAAGAAAGTACACCCTATCTGAGTTCTGTGGTTTTATATATCAGGATGTAGTAAAAATTATCTGGTCCTAAGCAGAACAACAACACATGACATGTTACACCATATCATAATTTGTTTAACAAAAAGACTGGATATAGGTCTTTTCCCACTTTTGAATTCACATAAACCATGTTCGATTCAGAAACACTTCCTAGCTCGGAGTTGCCCAGTAAATTTTACACAAATGAGTGTGAATTTCCATTAAGATCATAGCAAATCTCCAACACACTAATTTATGCATATTAGCACAGTTGCATCACTTTTTTTGTTTTGAAGAGAAAGAAATGGGTAGGAATCTCTAAGCATGAATTTTAGCAACAGCTCCAATCCTTGGGGATCCTTTAAGAAAGCTAAAACTAATAAAAATTATAAATCCTACTATATTTGATCTTAGCTAAAAAGTTAAGATGCATTTAAGAAAATTACATATGGAATGGTAACTATTAATGTTACAACATATTATACTTCATATCTTATCATATCTTTGTACCAAGACAAATTCCTTGTGTGTCCAATCACACTTGGCCAATAAAGAATTCTATTCTATTCTATTCTACCTTTTTCCTCTTGCATTTTTTCACTTAATTTTTAAGCAGTTTTTAAAAGTATTTCTTTGCAGTTTGTTGCTTTTGTTTTTAAATTTTTTTGTTATTGTATTAAAAGCAATAAACATTTTAAGCAATAGATCCTATAAACAATTAAAATGGCTATAGTTATAAATCCAAATTTCATAGCAATCTGAATTTTGAGATCATCTATCATGCTAATCCATGATCTATCTTAACCTGGCATTGATGATCAAATGTCTGATCAAAAGATCAGTAGCTGAGTTCACAAATAATGCTAAACCATACATTAGGAGTCTAATAAAATCTCTATTGTATCAAGGGCTTTAGTAGTCTTTCCAGAAGTTCCTGAGAGCTATACCATAAAAATGGGTGGGCCAAGACTATTTTTCATGAAGATTTCAGAAGTTAAACAGACAAAATGGATGTCTTAAACCAAATGAGTCTACAATAGCTCACCATGGCCACCTTGCCAGAGCCAATTCACTATGATCAACTCTCCATGGCCAATTCACCACAGCAAACTTACTGCGCAACAACTCACTGCAGAACAAGAAGTAGTAGTCAAATAGAATCACTAAAGAAAGAATGCCAAAGGAGGGACAAAATAATATATGGAAGACAAAAATTTTAAAAAAATATTATTTGAAATAATTAAATTGAATTGAATTGTCCCACAGCGAGTTGTCCTTGGCAAACTGGCCATGGCAAGACTATGGCAAGTTGGCCATGGTGAGTTGTCCCATTCTGCATACAGGTATGTGTCTCTGGTCACTTTGAGCAACGCAAAAGGAATTGTGATGTGCCGCATGCCACTCCAAACCTACATTTTTTTGCATCTCTGTCTTAAAATTTATAAACTTTATAAACTGCATAATCTAGATCGACATACTATGTCAATACCAAGCAAACTACATTAAGGTTTAATCCAATATGTGAATTGCCATACAAATTGAATTATGAGCCCAATTTAATTCACCTTTTCTAAAAATGCAAGAGAGAATGTCCACTATATTTAATGGGGTCTATTTGTACTCCTCTGAGCCAACATGAATTATTCTTTTTTCAGCACCAGATTAATTAACCTGAAATAAAAATTACTTGGAGTATTAACCAATGTGAGTTATGAATATAAAGGGCTAGCTGAAGTGGTAGAACTAAATAAAAGTTCTTATTTTGAATGTATACCTTTACAATCTTGCACATGGAAGGAATTTGCTGTGTGATATTTTACTCCTTATGAATTTCGTCTTAGAAAAGAAAGGGTCCGTATAGTATGTGAAAGCTAACAATGAGAATGTAAGCAGCAAGGTGAAATGAGGTACTCTCTGCATTCAGAGGATTTAGCAAGAGGAGAAACAGTTGGAGGGCAGAAATCTAAACTTACATTCATAGCAGGGTTGAGCATGAATGAATCAGAGCTGTGAACTCATGCTGTTATCATATGACATGCTTGCCCTGCCCCCAGATAGCAACAGGCCTCACAGAAGAACTGAGAAATTATTATGAGAAATTATTTATCTAGGGGTTATATTCTCTATAGTAAGACAGTAAACTTTTTATGTGCATGGCTGAGTGCCTCATGTTTCATTTCATTTTGTTTTTCAACTTCCTGTGCTTATAGAGCCATAGGATCAGAGAGACTAGACGTAATCTAATCGTTTCAGTGTTACAGCTGGGCAAAGCATGTATTTTTCAGGAGAACTATCATGCCAATCCCAAGACCAACTGAAGTGGTATACATTTCAGGTATTGTTTGAGCAACATATACATCCATTTTAACAAAATATTTCACAACTAAAGAGAAATGTCACAACTATTAACCACTAGTTTTAGAGTTATAGAAAATTGACCGTTTATTTATTATGACTTGAGTCATAAACTGCATTAAATCAGATTCACTTGGTTGTGGTTTATTGAATAAACTATAATAAACACACTATCATAAACCCTGGTTTTGAAATCAGAAGGGATGGGTTGCAGCACACAGTAAATCAAAACCAAACCACATTATGTTTTAACTATATTCTATTAATTCAGCCTATCACTACCACAAAAACAAATCCTCCTAGATGTCATTTCTTGCTGTTTTTACTATGTACAGATCTTATTAATATTATAATCTAAAATAATGATATACATATTCCTCTAGACATACATTTACTCCTGATATGCACTGCATACTTATAATGCCCTTTGAAACATGTAAAATCAGCACAATTTTACATGTTTCAAAGGACAGAATAGTATTGTGAGGACCTTGTTAACAAAAGTCCCCACTATAGATTTGCACCTTTCATAGCAAAATAACCATCAGGACTTCTCTCTTTCCTCAGGGAAATCATGGGAATTGTATTTAACAAGAATCTTAAAGATTGTAGAGAAATCTAGCCCTCCTCAGACCCACAGTTCTCCTAAGGAAGAAAGTCATTTAAAATGATTTACATTCATGCTGTACATATCTATTAATTTGTCTAATTCTAGGAAGGCAAGACTTCAGTCTCAATAAATTCTGGATAGATTGAAAGAACAGAAAAATATTTGACAACCAAAGTGGGGGAGGGAAGGGGGGGTGACATTATTTGTCTACATGCTATCCGAATCCCAGAAGCTCTGGATAATTTAATAGCATTTTCTTTTGGAGTAAATCATACTTTTTCAGAGTTGCTGCCCTTCAAAATATTAAAGTACCGTACTACAGCTTCCATTACCCTAGCCTACATGGCCATTGCAGTTTGGTAAGATGAGCATTAGAGTCTAACCAAGTAGTCTAGAATAGAGGAATAGAGGCTCTAAACTCAAGCAGATCCACTTGTAGAATTCAGAGTGCCCACTCATATGGAGCACCTCTGAATGAACCAAGACAGTAAATAAGAGTGTGGCAGAATCTTAACTCATATTTTTTTACTTGTAGAGACAAAGCTTACTATTTCAATATAGTGATCTTACAATGACATCACAAACTTGTACAAACAAGCCCCTGAAGAAACAGGCTAAACAACACATCAGGCTTCCAGGATGCACAGAAGCATTCCATAGGCAGTAGGGGCACTGCATAATTTCCGTTCATTATTGTCTCAAGAACAATTCTGTGCCATTTGAAAGCTTACAATCTTGAAATAAGTGCAATTTGAAAACTTATAACTTATCTAATAAAAAGCACTCTTAGAAAACGTTACTGTCTCAGAAAGAGGACGCTCCTATCCAAAGCTTTGTTTTTAAAATAGTGGGCAGGGCTCAAATCTGATTGAAAAACAGACCATTTTGGAAAATCTGTCCTCAAATCAGAGCGGGAGCTGCTAGTTTTTGTTAGCAGGGAAGGGAGAGAAAACCTACTTGTCCTTCATTTTTATTTTATTTGTTGAAAAATTTCAGGATTATGCACTGAAGCTAAACCCTGATTTAGGCTCTATACATCAGATGTTATACTGTCACCCTTATTAAGGAATATCTGGCTGCCTAAAATGGTGGCGTAGCTTGCTATACAAATGCTCAAATCAAGCAGCAATGCTGGTGGTATTCACAGGCCTGGAGAAAACATAGCTGATTCATTTTGGCATCATGCCATGCTCGGCCTATGACAGTACTATCCTAATGACGAATGTGTTAAGCGCAAGCGCACACGCACACACACACACAACACAAAAGGTCCTTTGGGCTCACTCGGTGCAAAGAAGGCAGATTGTCCTGTTTTGTTTGTACAAAACACAGGGAGTGAGTTATTTTCTTAATGCAATGTAACTGTACCAAAGGGGTGCTGAGGATAGAAAGTGCCAATTCATTTTTTTCCTCCTAAATATTCAAGATGGCTACTTCTTAGAAAAAGGCAACTTAAGAGGAAAAAAAACAGTGGCAATTTTCAAGGACTCCCAAATTGGGAGGCTGGCTGCCAGGCCTCAAGCCAACTCCCGCCAACTTCCAAGCCATGAAGGATTAGGGGGAGGAGGATATATGAATGGGAGCAACCAGTCTCCACACATTGAAGCCATGCCTTGGCCTGTGAGAGACAAGAGAGTGACTGTCCCAGCAAGACACAGAACTTTCCCCCCCTCTTCCCACCCACACGCCCCAAACAAAGGGAGCAGCTGCCTCAGCAAATGCTCCAGTGCACATGGGGGGGGGGGAATGGGAGGGTGAGCCAAGGGAGCTGTTCCCAGTGACTAAGAGCTACTGATCTTCTTCCCACCCACCCTTCAACCACACCCAACATAGTTCTCAATCTTTGAGAGCCTCAACTTAGCACTGGGTCATTAGACCGCCGACCTTCCCACCTCTCTCCCGTTCCTTGCCTGTACCCTGAAAGGGCTCAAAAACTGTGGGACTAGGAAATAGAAACCACGACCTCCAAACTGCCTGTTGGGGGGAGGGGGGGGGAGAGAGAAACAGAGCCGAAGGGGGAAGAGGGCAGTCTAGGTGCAGCATCGGACGTCCTTCATTACTTTCCTCTCCTCCCCCCCCCCCCCCCCCCATGGCTGCAAGCCACCTGTTCTCGCAAACCCTTCCATCTCTCTCCGGAATGCTTTCACCCCAAATGTCCTCCGCGTTCCCCTGTTTCCTTCCTCTGATTTCCGCAGAAGGGATCACCCCCCCCCCACAAGACAATTTTAGTCATAGTCACGTGGATGGGGGTGCGAAACGAGGAGTTGGGGAGCGGGAAAGGGATATAGAAAAAAATAGAGATGGAGGAAATCGTCCGGGTCATTCGGGGATAAGGAAGCCCGAGGCCGAAGCCAGGCGATTTCCGTGCGCCAAAGCGGTGCGCGCCCAGAGCGTGGCCCGGTGCGGTCCCGCGGCCGCCTGCCTCCCGCCCCCGTAAGAGGAAAAGTGAAGCCCGGACCGCATTTCCCCTCCTGCCATGCACCTGCTCTGGGTGCCGAGCGAAGGGGGGGGGGAAGACTAGCGGCCGGGCGGGCGGGTTTTCTGGGGAGGGGGGCGCACGGTGGGCGCACGGTGGGCGGGCGGACGACACGGCGCAGAGCAGCTACTCACCAAGGCGCACGGCGAGGCGGCGCGGAGGAGGGGGCGCTCCGGGGACCAGCCGCGTCGTCGGGGCTGGGCCGGGGCGAGCAGCCTCCCCGCCAATGGGGCTCCCCCCTCTCCTCTCCTCCTCGCCGTCTCTCGCTCGCTCGCTCGCTCTCCCTTCCTTCCTCCCTCCCTCTCCCTCTCTCGCTCCCTTCCTCCCTCCCTTCCATTGTACGGAGCCGCAGGCAGCGGAGGCGATTTGCATTTCTGAGCCTTGCGCGGCGAGGGATCACCCGGCTCCATTGTGCGCTCCGGCTCGGCCGGGGCAGCCCTGCCTCGAGGGAGGGGGCAACCCGGCTTGGAAGGGAGGGGAAACGAAGGAGAAAAACATTGAAACACGGCCTGCTCTGCTCGAATGCGAGGTGGGGGGCGAGAAACAAAAAATCTAAGTGCTACGAAAGTGGCCACTCCGGTGCATCTAAAACCCCTCTGGCCAGCTTTGCCAGGCGGCCATAGGAATGGTCGGAAAGATAGTGTCAGAATAGTAGATTGCCATTTATTTCATTTGCCTCCACTTTCCCCCCGAGAAAAAATGGCAGATGGTGGCACTACTCTGGCACAAGTTATTGTCTGCACTCCGATGGGGGCCCGCGGAGGGGCACAGGCAGTTCTGGGAGGGTATTTCATACAGAAGGAGAAAAAAATAGCACCATAGTAAGCCAAGAACTCCCTGCTGCTGTTAAGAGCCAAGCAAACAGTAGTGCAATTGAAGATTACAGAGCAGAGGATTGGAGAGGCAGGATCGGCCTGTCTCGGCCTGCTCAGTTGGGCCACGAGGGGTGGGGGGGACAGAAGAGCTGGTAACTTGGCACAAGCAAGTATTGTCTGCTTTGTTGTACATTAGTGGAAGAAATTAATATTTTTTGGGGATGACGTAGTGTTCCTGGCAAGAGGGAGGGGAGCAGAATGTTAGCCTAGCATAGCTAGGCAGAGACTGGCTTTGTTTTGCTGCACCCTGACTGCAAATACAGTCCTGGATTGGCATCGCTAACTGGTATTTGACCGTAGTCATTTTCACATCCCAAAGGAGATATAGTTGGTAGTACTGAGATTGAGAGCATTTCTGGGACAAAGGGATGTTGGATGGTTTCTGAAAAGCACAAGGAACGGGTGGGATTCAACCGGTGTTACTGCCTGTTCGATGACTACGTTTTGCGCGTGTGTGTAAAAAAACCTTAAGTTGTGCCACCCAGAGAGCTGAAAAGTGCTGTGAGCAGGTGCACAGCATTTGAAAAGCCTCTTTTTTACTGCTTTTTCAACCTCAGCTGTGCAGTGCAAAGCAGCTGAGGTTGAAAAAGCAGGAAATAAAGGACAGATAAGAGCCCGGGTGGGTGGAGCAAACAGAGGACCGGTTCAGTGTCTGCTGCCCTTCAGAGCTACGGGTTCTTTAGAACTGGGCAAAACTGGTAGCATTTCATCCCTGAATAAGAAGGCAAAATTCCACTCCTACATTGTATTGTGCTGTGGGAAGCACCAAGTTTGTGAGGAGCAGCAGCAACAGGTAGGTTGTGCTACCACTGAGAAAGAGTCAAGCCCTATCTGGTTTGTTACGCCACACTGCTGACAAGCAGACCTGAATGGTCTTTCCAGGCATGTGGTCTGATGGAAGGGCCTCTCAGTGCTACTGCTCAGCCACTCAGGTCAGTCGAGGAAAAGGAACATTCTGGTTGCCAAGCAACCACAAGTCAGGTTTTTATCTACCTCTTATGTAGCTCTCTAAAGAATGGGAAAGTGAGCACACCAGCTAAATATCTAAGTCAGGAAAACAGATGGGAAAGAGGCCAAATCAGCTTGGCATTGTGTTCCCCCTAAAGGGGGAGGGGGGCTATTCAGAAGCCAGGGCAAATAAATGGATAAATGACAGTGTGAGCTGAAAAACCCTGCTTTGCTGAGGGAGAGTGTAAAAGGTTTAATAAAACTGTGCAGATGCAGCGGTATATATATGAACAACTGTACCGTATTTGTAACTCAGAAGTCCCACTGATTTCAATGGGATTTCTGTCCAAGTGAGTACCTAATTGCAGCCTTGTAAAACTAACCACTATTTATAAATAAAGGCTTGCTGAAAATAGCCTTTTCTCCATTAGAGATCCCTCCAAGTGAAAGAACTATAAAAGATGGTAGAGTTGATGTAATAATAAAAGCCACATATAAAAACAAAACTACCCAAACCTAAGAACAAACTAAATGAACCTGGCTGTTTATATTCCAGTTGATAGAGAATCAAGATGTGAAGAAAATGCTAAATTGACTTTGATCAGAGAAAAGATACTATTTATGTTTCTTGTTGACTAGACTTTTCACACGAAATAGAAAAAAATGAACTTATGATTTATTATTTTGATTAGACAGGATATAGAAAGAAGAGAGTTATGTACAGTAAAAGGAAAACAGAGTTATAACTGCAGTGAATAAGATTGGAAGCTATTTGTGTGAAGAAAAATACAGTATTGTAGCTTTTAGAGCTGAAAGACAGAAATGGTTATTGTTTCAGCATTCTTTTCTAAGAAGTATAATCTTGTTAGGCAACTCTGATGAAATATCAGCTCTCTGTTTAGTACTTACAATGCCTTGCATTTATCGTAGGTACTGTAATAACTAAATCACTTCTCAAATAGATTAAAATGTGCATAATATCCCCATATTTTATTTTCCCATGAAAATTGGGCCTGGAAATGCTGAACATTCCATTCCAATGTTGATTTATCCATTCTGATTTTTCAAAACCAGCAGAATTAAAAGGATTCCCCATCTTTACAGCCCACAAAGCAATCACAATCTTCATCAAATGAGTCCCCATCTTATTTGTTGCTCGGTATGTAGCACTGAAATATAATGTAGAATTTGAAACCAGTATATGTATAAAGCTGTAGATGCCACAAAAATCTGGGCTAAATACATACTAATGACTGGATGTTAAAAAGTTCTTTACTCCCAACAAAACCTTATTTCTCAGTTTCCCATTTTGTTTAGGCATTATTTAGAGGAGGGGGAGCAGGAATATTCTCAATTATATGCTGCAGTTCCCTCCACTTAAGCATGGAGTGGCCCAAATATGACAGAGGGAGAGAACGTCATCTGATTTTAGCAGCAAAAAGAAATCCGGGGTAAGAATACTGAATCCTGTCCCGTATTCACTATCAATCACTTCCACCACTGGAGTTACTCAAAAATTCAAAATAGGCATTACTCTTAATTGTATATTAATAACCCAAATACTGTTTGTATTTTAATACTAGCAGGAGGCATGGGGGAAGAGAGTCACTGGGACTAAATTACACAGGGAAAGACAAACAGCCAGAAGGGAAACAGTTCCAATTGCTACCTGGAGAAACTTTTTCTCTATATAGAGTTGAGAAATAGATGTTTTTCACTGAGACTACAATTCATGAAAAAAGTAAACCTCCTTCATGTTGGCTCTATTGACTAGGTGTGCATATACAATAAAAAGATGCCTTGTTTCCTATTTACTTACTAGACCTGTCTGTTTAGGGCTTTGAGCAGGGCAACAACACAAGTGATTTGCCATGGTCTTCCAGAAACTTGACTTCCCTAACCCAGAAACTTGTATCCCTAACATTTCCTGGTAATCCCTTCCAGGTTCCCTAACTAGATCTGAATTAGCTTAACTTACTATGGTCAGCTAGATCTGCAATTTAAAACAAAAAGTTATGAATGCAACTGGGGTAATCCTAATGTGGCCCTTTGAAGAAGAAACTACATACTAAAATAATATACAAGAAGATATAAACAGTTTTCAAGACACAGTTTGTATGTGTCTCACCAATCAGTTGGCAGAGTTTTAAGCATCCCATCTAGTTGCTTCTTCAAGTTGCATAGTTCTGATATATCTTACATCTTTATGGACAGCATGGTGATAATTAAACTTCATTGATGCCTCTTTAATAAGGTTTAAGTAAGTTTTCAGCACCATAATTTATGCTGGTCAAACAAATGAGCAGCAGGCCCATCCAAAAGTGATTATAAACAAAAATACTTCTGCTCCAAAAAAGGGGGAAATTATTACAGGTCCGTATTGCAATCCTTTCAGTCGGGGGAACTCAGTATTTTAAAAATGTAGAAGAGAAGTCATGGCACAATATATTTAGTGGCTTTTATGGCAGTACTCAAATGTCTACTAATACTGTTCAGTCTCAGTGCATTATACCAAAGTTACGAATGTATATTCTACATTACTTCTTGCATCTTCTTACAATTTGTTTGCTTTTGAAAGAATAATACCACAATAGATATGACCAATATTGAACTGCCCTTTGAAAATCATTGGGACAAGTGCAAGAATCTTAATATGGTTCCACCTCAGTATCACTTTTTCTATGTGCGCATAAAAGAAAGTCCTATATCAAATTCTTACAGGATATATAAAAAGAGACAAATGCCAAATAACTCAACTTACCAAATAAGAAAAAAAAATACCTGTATCCAGTAGTACAGTCACATTGCTTCCCCCCCCCCTCAAAAATTAGAAACTCTTGATCAATTCTAAATATAGCACCATTTGTACTTCTTTATAGATTATTTCCCCCAATTAGAATTACAGAAAACTGCATGTAAAAAAACCAAACAAGTAAGCCAACTTTATGCTACAGGGAAAAGCAAACATCCCTCTCTCCAGTCTTTGATATTTTCACTCACACTGCAATATATTTTCACATGGAAATTGATTGGTTGGTTATATTATTTAATCATCTCAAAAATAATCTTGAAAATAAAAGATGTATATTTGCAGTTCCAGCATCTCTTCCTTATGCTCAAGATAATCATGGAACAATGATTCTTATGTTTCTTCAAACTGCAAGAATGTAGGGGGTTTAGCATTAACCAAGTACTGTTCATCAAAACTCCCTGCATAGAAATATTAACATAAAATAGATAACTAACATATCTTAAGTCTCCTTGACATGCCTGTTACTCTACAAAATAAGATGCAAAATAAAAAATCCCAATATTAAATTGACAAGCACCTCCTTTGCAATCTAAAGTGGCACAGTCCCAGAAAAAGTGTTGTCTTGTAACGGTCTATGGCATTGTGCATACTGTACATCATTCTCATACTGTTGTATTACTCGTCTGATCTTGAGTAACTCAGCTAAAGATATTTGATCCTATTTTAGAAGGGGGTACTTCTATATATGGTAATCACATACCCCTCTATGTAGCCCAAATGCCCTCTTTCTTCCTTTTACTTTAGAATTACCTTGGAGAAATTTCAGGAAATGGATGCTGTAGTTGCCTAACAACTGCAGCCTAGATTCTTTCCTTCAACACCCACTGAAGAGAGCAAAAAATCAATCTTAAGACTGAAACTGTGACTAGAGATAGGACAACCAATAAATGCACAGATCCATACACTCTGGGTGTTACCACATTTGATCCTCAATAGAAGATGATTCAACCCACCAAGTTCCCTCTTTCCCAGCAACTTTTAATTTAGGTGAACCTGGGAGTTTCTTGGTTGAGCTTCCTTGCTTGATAGCCTCTTTTAAGTGTGAGCTTGACCAAAACACTCCAGGAAATTCACAATCCAAGAAAATGGCAGAAAAGGCACTCAATGAGTAGTAATCAGGCAGGACATGGAAATCCCACAGTAGGATATAACCAATCTAGATGCTTCTGTGGAGTGTTAGCAGAGCCGTCAGGAAATGGGTAGGAGCAAGTCACGATATTGTTGAATATGACCATCCATTTGTGTCCCAATTCCCAAGTTTTTGCAAGGATCTCAAACTGTCCTGTTCCCAGAGTCCCTAGGAACTGAATCTTGCCGTCCATGGCTTCCCGAAGAAAAGAGTTTCCGATGCAGGCTCCACACCCAACGCTAAAAAGAAAAAGCAAATCAGACTAGAAATTCATCAAAAATTTTAAATATGTCTATTGAACATCTATTCTTCCCTGTCAAGTATTTAATCTGCACATACTTTATATTTGAATCTTATCCATTCTGAACTTATGAAATTTAATATGAGGTTTAATCCTTAATATCATTATGCATTAAATACTACATAGCACTAATTAACATGCAATTAGAAAGCAGCACTTTTTTTTTTAGCATGCTATCCATAGCATTTCAGCTCAGTTGCTTTCTAACTTGATCTCCTGCAGATACGTTCCATTTCTACTCTTATCAGCTCCAATCAGCATCAGCAAGAGATGATGAAACTTGCAGTCTACAATACTGGGAGGCATCAAGTTGTTCACTATGTTACAACAACTCTGCAAGTTTGGTTGATATTGTTGCATTATCCAGATGAAGGGCAACAAAACTCAGCTCACACTGTTAGCCATTATGTTAGCCAGCTGCATAGATATTAGAAGGTTTTTAAACAGCAATAGTAATATAAAGACAACTGCATAGCAGTGGCACACAGGACAGAGAAGCTATAGGACGGTGGAACACAAAAGGAAGAGCACCTAGACATAGAATCACTCATTTAATAGGGATGAAGCAGACATCCTGAAGTATCCCTGTAATATAGACTGAAAGAAAGGCTCTTGGGAATATTATGTGCTACAGCTTAGGGAAATGGGGGTGGCAGGGAGCAGATACAGGAACGTAGTGGGAGGTTGCACAAAGGCAGAAAAGTTTGGCGGGGTGGGCTGTACCTGGCTGCCCCAACCTCAGAGTGGGGTCACTGGTTCGCCGGCAATGCCAAAGCTCTGGCAAATAAAGAAAAAAACAAGCCATCAGAGATGGCCTAGTGAACCTTGGAGAGGAAGGAGTGGAATAGCTGAATCATACTATTTGGCATACAAAACATAACTCTTCAAATGGCCACCAGTAACAAAGATGGGTCTTTCATAACTTTGTGAAGGGACAAAAATGGCAATGATGGGTGAAAAATCTTGGGGCACTCTTTCATTCAGGGTAGCTCACATCCTTAGTAATGATCTCTATAATCAACAGATTCAACAGCTAGCAATTTCTCTGATTCACAGTATTTCAGGTCGCAGTTACTTTTCCCCAGGGAATGAGAGGGGGGGTCACTTCTAGGGGCTGTTGATTATAATAATGAGACATCTGGGTTGAGACCCTCCCTCTATATGTCTTTGAAAGCAAAGTTAATTCAAATAGAATGCCAGTCCAGCACCATTTCCCTTTCCCCACATAAAACCTGAAATAATACGGTCAAGAAAAGGCATGTTCGGGTTAATGAAAGAAATACAAACCCTATCACCAAAAAACATTCCAGCACTTAATAAACTCACCGACTGATGGTGTCCTAAAGCAGAACTGCTGCCAGGCAATGAACTTCTCCCCTGCCTAAGTGGTTCATGGTGGCTTGGGGAGGCTCCCTCTGACCCAGAGGTGTGAGCTGAGGGGAACACAGAACACAGTTAAGCACCAGCAGAAGCAACTACTGATCTCTTGAGAGGGTTGATAGAAGAATAGTGATGCTACCTCTTGGGATGGGCTTGACATCTAAGTCCCATTCCTCTTCCTCAAAGTGGCCAGGGAGTGACAAACCAGGAGGGGGACCAGGGCCAAGACCCAGAGGAGCTAAGCGCTGAGAAGGGCAGGAGGACAAGCTCATTGAGACACTTGGCTGGGCAGCTAAGAGAAGTGAGAGGAGGGAAAAAAAAGACAAACATCCAAGGCATTTTGATTCAGCAGCCCTGTCCTTGAAAAGACCTCTCCCTCTAGTGTTTGTTCTCATCTCACAAACAGAAAATGTTATTTCAACCACATTTTTTGTGGCCTTTCTCCATCTTAAACTCATGTAGGCCAAAAAATTTTGGTTCGCTCTTTGCTTTCTAATTGCAGATAAAAAGGTTCTGATATTGATCCACCAGTTTTCATTGTTTGGAGATCTATTTACACTCTTCTCTTCCATACAATTCTTCTTTTGTGTATAGTAAAGGCAATAAAGCTACATTTACTTAGAGTTAATGCATCACTGCACTGTCTGTTCCAGTCTGCTTGTTACTGCTTTTTTCTTATCAGTTCTGAAGCAGCCAACTGCTTGAAATGTAAGGCCCCATCCACAGACGTGCAACTCCTCCCCCCAAAAAACAAAACAACAAAACAAAAACGGGAATGTATCAAGATCAGGCCTAACTAGAAACCTTAGTCACGCTGATGCTGGGGATCAAATGACATCATCAAAAGTGTACCTTTGTTTCAAACTCCCTTGATCGCACAAAGTAGCATTTATTTTGCCTGACAGATCTAGTTCTTTAAATGTACGGGGATAACGACACTAGATAACTGCACTGTCTTTCAAAATAAATTTATTGTTAATCTTTGACATAGATTTTATGCAACTTTTTCTCACTTTCTTTTCTTTCAAGAATAAAAGATTTTAAGAACCCCAACCCACCTACCCCAGCAAAACATTCCCCTATTGAGCTGACCATCCTCAGTTAGGCATGCTCATACCTTGTCTCCAGAGCAGTTGGGCTATAATATTTGTCCACTGATGCTTGACTTCAGCAGAGGCTGCTTGCAATGTATAGGCCTGCCGGGATGATCCCCTTCCGAACCAAAGCTCAAAACGTAACCCACTAGAACCCACGCTCTCAGTCAAACCCATGGAAGCAGTCTATATGAAGAGAGGAAGCCATAGAAAATGTGGCAGTGTTCACAGTTCATAGTCAGATGCAATGTAATCTGGTTTTCATTTAACTGTCCTGCAGTAGCAATCAGTTGTAACTTATGCAATAAATCATTATTAAACACATCGTTCACTGCACTATAATGAACCAGATCTCTTATAAATAAAGCCATCTCATTCCAGACAATAATTTCATCAGTGTGGATTAAAATAGCCCCAAATTATACTTCTAGCCCCTAAAGCCTGGGAAAATATTATTCAAGATAAATCACTTTACCCACCTGCAAGGCCTGTTTGCAGACATAGCCACCCTCAGTTCCTTTACATTTGGTAAAGAGTAGCAACTGCTCAAATAGGAAAACATGCCGCTGGCATTTACGGCGTCCAGACAACAGAATGAGTTCACCACGCTGAAGCAATGTCCCTTGTTCTGACAGTTTTATCTGCAAAGGAGCAGATAAAGGTACATATGAAATTAAGATTGCCATTCCCTCCAGTTCTCAGGAGAGGGGAGAGTGTTAGTTTCCCCTCAATTTGCCCACCAGAATTTTTGCGTTTGCTGTTTTTAGTATTTAGAGCTTTGCATAGTCCAGGGGTCGGCAATGTGTGGCTCCAGAGCCACCTGCTGAGGCTCCCTGTTGGATGATCTCACCACTGGCTGGCCCCACCCCTTGCCCTCTACTCACAGTCACTCCTCGCCTGAGAAGGGAAGGGTGACGGCGGCGGATGGAAACTCACTCCGTATTCCAAAGCAAGAGCGAAGCGACCCTCTACTTGCCTCTTCTTCCGGCCTTTCTTGGTGCTGCACACACCAGGGAGACACATGACTTTCTTTCTGCCCCGAAACACTGGGCCGTCTGCAGCCGATGCTCCATGTTGTAATGGGCTCCAGGAGGAGGAGGGGCGCTACAAGAGCAGCGAGAAGGCCATGGAGGTGGCGAGAGCAGCGGCGTCAGCTGCAGCCGGCCCAGCCAGTGTCTCGGGACAGAGAAAAAGCCACACATCCCCATATTCCACTCGCTATCTCCATGGCCTGCTTGCTGCGCCTTGTGCACCACACTTAAATTTAGCATGCTTCACAATGGGGGAGACAGCATGCCCTCCTGCTCCTGGAGCCCATTATGATGCAGAGCATCGGCTGCAGATGGCTCAGTCAGTGTCTTGGGGCAGAGAGAAAATCGTGTTGCCTCCCCAGTACATGCAGCAAGGAGGGCCGGAAGAAGGGACAAGTAGAGGGGCACTTCACTCCCGCTTTGGAATTCGGAGCGAGTCCCCACCTGCTGCCGTCACCCTTCTCTTCGCGAGGAGTGAGTGGGAGAGGGGGGTGAGGAGCGGGGCGGGCCCAGCCACTGGTGGGGTCAGCCGACAGGGAGCCACAGCGGTGGACAAAAGAGCTTCATTTATCTGGGAACTTGAAATGACTTGATTTAAATCATATGATAAAAAGCACTTGAAGAAGAAGAAAGAACATCCGCAAAACAAAAAACAAAACCCAACCACTGCCTGTTTTTGGAAATGGTTCAAGAGGGAACACACACACACACACGAGATATGAAAAAGAGAGAAAAAGAGAAATTAGACAGGGAGAGAAAGAAATGAGAGAGAGAAGAGAAGAGAGAGATGAGAGGGAGAAATAGGGAGAAAGAGATGAGAGAGAGAGAGGGACAGAGAGATGAGAGGGACAAAGAGAAAGAAAGGGGAAGAAAGATGAGAGAAAGGGAGAAAGATGAGAGAGATGTGGGAGAAAGAGAGAGATGAGAGAGGGAGAGAGAAAAACAGGGAGATGAGAAAGAGAAGGAGAAAGAGAGATAGAAAGAAAAAGGAGAGAGAGAGGGACAGAGAGAGAGGGAGGGAGGGAGGGAGAGGGAGAGAGAGATGTTTCCCAGAGAAAAGAAAATACCAGAAGCCACAAAACCTGGATAGGTGTGGCTTGGGGGGTCATGTGACTGGGTGGGGGTGAAGGATGTCAAATTGGCCACGCCCACCAAGGTTTTGTGGCTCACGGTGTTTTCTTTTCTGTGGGAAACACGTTCTTTGCGTGTTTAAGGTTGCAGACCCCTGGCATAGTCCAAGGACTCAAGAGTTTGGCAACAGCACAGAACTTTGCAAGTGTCAGAAAGGATTAAACTGATGGGTTTAGACAAGTGCCATGGGAGGAAATAGCACACACACAGTAAGCAGCCGGGAAGATGCAGCACCAGGTGACGGAAGTGCCCATGCGCTCACCTCGCAACCTCGGATATGCTCTATGGCCAGTAAGTCTCTGCCTCGCTGCTCCTGTGCCTCCAACAGTTGCTGGGCCTCCTGTAGGGCTTGGCGGTCAGGCCCCTGCTCGAGCTCACATTCATGTAGAAGTTCACCCAGGAAGCGCCGGTACCGCTCCAGTTGCTCCAGAGGCACCTGTAAAGTGTATGCTATTTGTCCATCCTCACGTGGCTCCATCAGACCTTTCTGCAGGAAAAAGATGATAAAAGCAGAAGGCTAGAATCAAACACTAGAAACAAACCACTCTGGTGTTACCTGTTATACCAACATTTCCTGAAAAATCCCACAATTCAGATCTCTACAATGAATGAAACTATACAAAGACTTCAAGGTCAAGCTTTTTTTTTGGGGGGGGGGGGGGGGGGGGGTGTCAGCAGGCTGTGCAGAATCAAACTCTCAATGCAACTATAAATATGCCAACCTCAGGGACACCTGATCTAATGAATAAAAAGGGCCTCTTATGAACAGAAGCAGTTTCTTTAGCAGTCAAGCGATTCATCCGGCCTTTCAAGATAAAAAGGGAAATTCCATCTGTCTGCCACGTGGCCGCGGCTCATTTACCTTGCCAGTGCTTCGAAGCAAAGCCAGGGCAGCCTGGAACTTGTGGTGATCTTTGGCATAGGTTGCATACAGTTGCAGCTCTTCTCTCTGAAGGTAGGAAAGAGAGAGAGAGACAGAGAGAGACAGAGACTCTCTCATTCATCAGTGGAGCAACAGTCAGGCAAATTCCAGGAAAACTGGCTACTGGAACAAAATCATCTCTCTAGCTTGTTGGACAACGTATGTTGTTTTTTCCCTTATTCCCTCCATTCTTTCTAATAAGACAAATGTTACCCCAAGAAAGCTCAAAACAAAGACTGCTGTCTCTTTCTCTCAGCCTTGCTGCTTTTCAATTCCATGCATTAATTATGGAATTAACATTCCTTATCAATTTATTTCCATGCTAAGGATAGCTTGTCCTGATAATTTGTATTGTCAGACTTATAAAGGCGCAGGAGAAAACATTTTAATAAGGTGATAGGCTCTTTGAAAAAAAGAGGTCTTTTTATGAATAGAGAGAAGCAAAAACTTTGTAGCAGGCATGTAGGTGAAGGTTTCCTATAATAGAACAAAGAACATGGAGAACACAAGAAAGTATAATTCTGACAAAACAGAAGGTCAATGCTTTGGATCGAAAGACTTTCCCAAACAACAGACCAGAAAGAGAGGCAGTTTGGCCATTATTGTGCTTTCTGAATAGCCTTTAAAAAACAAAGATAACCTCAATTTTTTTTTTAAGGGAGGGAGCTTTTACTTAGCTTTTTAAAGATGGACAGCTCTGCATTTACTTTGAAACAGACTGATACATCTTCAGGAATATTAACTATTTATCCGGCTGCTGTATTGGAGACTGAGGTTGTTACTTTAATTAATTTGAGATAATTTATTCTAGCAGCTCCCTCTGCATGCAGAAAGCAACTAAAGGTTAGAGCTACCATATCTTGGATACAAAAATTAAGATGGCCACTACACAGCAGCAAAGAGGAAGTCTTCTGTATGTCTTTGCAATCATTCAGTGATTGTCTGGAGCTTTGCAGCCCAGATCTGGTACCCTTATCAAAAAGTTAAAGAAAAAAGAAGAAAAAAGAAGGCTAGAAGTTGAGAGAGCAATGACAGTCAACATTGTGATATCGGCAAACTACTTATGTACAGGTAGTCTTCGATTTTCAACCACAACTGAGCCCCAACCTTCTGCTGCTAAACAAAAAAAGTTATTGAGTGAGCTTTGCTCCATTTTACAGCCTTTCCTGTCACAGCTGTTAAGAGAACACTGCAGTTGTTAAATTAGTAACACAGTTATTAAGTGGATCTGGCTTCCCCGTTGATTTTGCTTGTCAGAAAGTCATAAAAGATGATCACTTGATCCCGGGACACAGCAACCATCATAAATATGAACCAGTTGCCAAGCATCCAAATTTTCATCATGTGACCATGGTAATGTTGCAATGGTCATGTGGAAAATGATCATAAATCACTTCTTTCAGTGCCATTGTAACTTCAAACAGTCACTAAATGAATGGTTGTAAGTCGGGGATTTTTGAGAGTCATGCTCTACTCAATGGAGATTTTACCTGTTATTAAGGACTTATGTATTGATATTTTGAAAGCCAGGATGATTCACTGGGCTGGCATCAGATCCACCCTGAGCTACCAATATTCACTGGGTGACCCTGGATGAATCACTCTCCTCAATCCAATTTACCACTAGTTGTTGTGGGAAAAATAGGAGGAGGCAATGCTACACTCCCTATTTTCAGCTCCTATACAAAGGGGGGAAGGATACAAATTCACAAATAAATATTGTTGATTTTTAAAAGAATGGCCCTATACACAAAAGCTATTGGAAATCTATTCTCTCTTCCCTAAACTTTGGTATAACACCGACAGACTCTAGTTATAGTGGTTGAGCAAAAGGCAACTCTGTATGCTCAGAGGAAATCTCTGCTTCACTGCTACTTCACATATGCCAGAATATATTTTTAAAAAAAGTTTTTCAGAACCAAGAGATGGTCATGTGGTTAAGGAAGCTTTGCCAGTGGATGGGTGAGAAAGGAAGGAAAGAAGGGGGTGGAATTCTGACACAGGAAATGGGTCCCAGCATGCAGCAGGTGGAGTAGCAACTAAGGAAAGGAAGCACTCACGTGGCGCAGGAAGCAGCTGCCAATGCGTGATGGGTGGCTCATGCACCCCTCCAACTCGCTCAGGAGGCAGCTGGAATGGAAGGCCAGGAGCCGGTCCCGTGTGGCCCGGAGGGCACCGCCCAGGCATCTTAACTCAGCTGTCCAAGCCTGTCCCCCAGGCTCCTGAGACAGAGAAAGGGGCTGGGTAAGGGCACCCACGTACTCCCGCTCGCACTCCAGCAGCTCAACCAAAAGCTGCTGTTGGACCCTGAGGAGAAAGAGGGAAGAAGGTTCACATTCAAAGTCACTCAGCCATACTTGAACCATCTGGTGACAGCCAAGTCTGTGAAGCGAGAAATGTTACAACACATCTGGCAACAGAACATCAGCACAAGGGTTATCAGCTGCTTCTGTCCCAGACTGCTCCTCCCCCCTCCAAAACAAAAAAACAAAAAACACGTTGTGTGGTCAGTGTTTTGAACCATGCTGCAGATTGATAAGTGTATAATTTCATTTTAATTGGGTGTGATTCTGGTTCAAGGTGTTTCCATGTTGTTTTATATATTTAAAATATTTATGTATCACTTGTCATATGGTGTTCTGTAGTGTTTCTCCAAGCATTATGCAAAATTTAAAATGTCTTTGAATGCATTGGGGTGTAATCAAAGCATCTACATAACAAAGTAGTGTATTCAGAGAAGGGACATCAAATCTTGCACAAGTATAATACCTTACTGCTATTCATTAAAACAGCTCATTATTTTTCAGATTTCTGTGCTAGGCTGGGAAAAAGATGCAGTTGCTTTAAGATTAGCAATGAGTCAGCTCATTAAGGTAGCAGCATACTTTTTTTTAGGTTTGGGTAGAAATCTAAAATGCAACTAGTTGCTTTAAACAATAGCAGAGAGGTGCTGCTTTCATCAATGATTTTCTAAGCATGTATAATCCTAATGCAGAATAGGAACACAAGACGGTCAGGAAATAGTATAAAGAATAGGACTGTAAATTTTTTATTACATTATGATGTGGCTGACCAGTGTGCTAGCAGATTAGCTATTGATAATGGATTTTGGTCACCACAGAGTTGGCAGAGTGAAGGATAGCTTGTCTTGTCTCTCAAGAACAGCTCATTATCAACTCTCCACAAAAACATGTGTTACTAACAGAATATATGACAATGAGCTTTTTAGAGTGTAATTTTTAGAGGACTGTGCCCCCTGTAAATGACAGAGTAACCAAGGTATAAGAAATCACTTAGGCCTTGAAATCCAACTCCCTACTTACTGTTAGGATCCAAATTTAAGTCTCCCCAAAAAATAGTTGTCTAGCCTTTGCTTGAACATATTTAGTGGGCAATTGTTTCTGCTATAAGTAGTTTTTCCTCTAGCATTCAATCGGAATCTGTCTTATAAGTTGAATTCATTATTTGGCATCCTACTTTCAGGACTGATGAAGAATAGGTCTTAGTTTTCTTTGGTGTGATAATCCTTTCAAGTTATAATTTCATGCTATTCTACTCTCCCCCCCGCATACTTCTCAAGGCTAAACATTTCCAATTCCTTCAATGTCTCATAAAATTTTGTTTGAATTCCCCAAATAACCTCATTGCTCTTATCTGAATGTGTTCCAGTGTGTCTGTTTCTTAAAGCATCATGCCCAGAGTTGGATACGATACCTGAAGCCTGATTAACACAAAGCAAAGTGATGCTCATATTGAGTTGGAAAGAACTATTTAGCTCACCAAGGCCAACTCCAGTGCAGGAATCCAAGTAAAACCTCCCCGACAGATATTTATCAAGCTTCTGTCTGAGAACGTCCAGCACAAGGAAGCTGTCTAGGTAATTGATCTGTGGAATTGCTCTTATTGTCTGAGAACTTTCCCTAATATTCAGTCCAAGTTTTGCTCCATGCCATTATTATACCCTCTGAGGTGACAAAGAACAGGTCCTGAAGAGGAGAAGCCATTCAAAGTTTCTGTTCTAGTAGCAAATGTGTATCCACATTTTTTTTTAAATTAAGCCTCCAGGCAATCAACAACTTTTTAATCCTACCATTCTGTTGTGGAACAGCTAAGCAAAAGATAGCCACAAATTCTCTTGAGCTCCTACTCACCCAAGGCAACGCCTTCTTTCCATGCGAGGTGTGGCCCCCCAAGGTGCTTCAGCAACATGAGTTCTGCTGCGTCCCAACAGCACATGTTCACGGGGGGAACAGCTCCTGTCTGCCAGTTCCCGGCTGCTTACTTCCAGACCACGTATATGCACACTAGGGCGACCCGGATCACTCAAGGCTCGTAATGCCAGGTTATTAGCTGGAGATGCAGGTTTTTTGGAAATGATGAGGGGCCCCTGGCTTTTCTTCTTGCTGTCTAGGGCATTGCTTCGGGCAGGAGAACAAAAGGGGGAGCCTTTGGGGCTGGTAAGTGGCTGGAAGAGAGAAGTTAAACTGCAAGAGGAACCAAACTTGGACCCAAGCAACAAGCCATGCTTTGATGAAGAAGAAGCAGCAGCAGCACTGATGCTGCATGCACGGGCTCGGGCTCGGGGAACAGAACTGTCTTCAGGCGTGACCTGTGACTTCCCTGAAGATCTAGGGTTTTGTAATAGTTTTTTCTCCAAGGATGTTCCTTCAGCTAGTCCCTCAGCTGGTCTCTCACCCTCTCTCTTCTTTTCTACACTGCTATCACCAGACTGAAGGCATGTTTTGCCTTCCTGCTGAACCTATGGAAAAAAGAGAGATTAGAGGAAAAAGGTAAAGGCACCCTTGGTCAATCCCAGATGCTGCCTTCACTGTTTCTTTTAGCCACTTTACTAATCCACTGAAATATGGTTTAGAAAACCAGGAGCCTTCCAGCTTTGTGGTCTGCATTTTCCAGGATAGTTAGCAACGGCTGGAATTAGGAAAGGCTGATTTAAACTTTTTTCAGCTTTTGAGGAAGGGTGAATTCATTACATTCTATCATTGTGGCATTTCTGCCATCACTGGAAACACCTATCCTCATTCAGTAACTCCTACGCAGTTGTTGTTTTTTTTCACCTCAGTCAGCTAACTCCCAATTCCTCAGAGCCGCTTTACCTCCCACTCATCTCAAGTCTAAAGAAAATTGGGCTTCTGAGGCAACAGTCTCCACAGCCATTCATCTCATTCAACAATCCCTAGCAAGAAGGCTCAGGATTTCAAGAAGTCATAAGTCTTGACTGCTCATGAGTGTATTACCAAGATAAAAAAATGAGGAAAGGAAAGCTTTGTTCCTGGAATTTGTCCATTCCATTTGGATAGGATAACTGCCTAGCTTCATTTTTAAAGCTCCTATATTGGGTACGAACTTTAGGTCTAATTATTCCCTTTGCTTAATGACACTCACTACAGCCAATTCTTCCCAGAGAAACAAATCTTAGAAATTAATTACCTGTATGTTCTTCTTCTCCTGCTGCAATAACTCAAGACACCGGTTGCTGAGTTGGACAAGTCCATGAAGGGCTTCATCCACCTCTTGATACAGTCTTGTGGCATCCATAGCTTGCATACTACAAGATGGGGAAAATATTACTTTGGGGCAGCACAACATAAAAAAGAATATTTTCTCAAAAGGGAAAAATTAATCTCAGAGAGGACCCACTTGGACATAATGAATTAATTTCCAAATGCTGATGAACTACAATTCCCAGCAGTTCTCACCAGAGTCTCCAATGTATCCTAAGAATTACAGTTCATGAACAGCTGGGTGGAGGGACACTGACTGCCCACTGCTTGTGTTTTAAAGGGCAAATGTGAGAAGAATGTTTTTAGAAAAGCATTTAGATAAACATCTAACAAGAATTATCTAAATAATTCTTCATTATCTATGAAAAACAAAGACCAAGGAGAAGGAATTGGCTTGAAATTTAACATATTTCTAGGCTGAGGTGCTTACAAGGGTGTTTTGTAGTTTTTTTTGTTTTTGTTTTTCTGATGGTTTAAAACAAGGCAAATGTAATTGCCTCCCCACTTCCCTTCTTATGTTTTAGGAACAAACTGTTGTCATCTGCTAATGCATACAATACCTTCTTAATGGACTTTCAAAAAATTCTTGTTTTTTATGGGAAAAGGATTTTTTTGAATGCCCTTTTAGATGAAAAGCAAAGGCAAAGGAATATAACCCACAACAGAGACATAGATGTAGAAATATTCAGATAAAACACTGCTCAAAAAAAAATAAAGGGAACACAAAAATAAGACATCCTAGATCTGAATGAATGAAATATTCTTATTAAATACTTTGTTCATTACATAGTTGAATGTGCTGACAACAAACTCACACAAAAATTATCAATGGAAATCCAATTTAGCAATCCATGGAGGTCTGGATTTGGAGTTACATTCAAAATTAAAGTGGAAAAAAACACTACAGGCTGATCCAACTTTGATGTAATGTCCTTAAAACAAGTCAAAATGAGGCTCAGTAGTGTGTGTGGCCTCCACGTGCCTGTATGACCTCCCTACAACGCCTGGACATGCTCCTGATGAGGTGGCGGATGGTCTCCTGAGGGATCTCCTGCCACACCTGGACTAAAGCATCCCCCAACTCCTGGACAGTCTGTGGTGCAACATGGCATTGGTGGATGGAGCGAGACATGATGTCCCAGATGTGCTCAATTGGATTCAGGTCTCGGGAACGGGAGGGCCAGTCCATAGCATCAATGCCTTCGTCTTGCAGGAACTGCTGACACACTCCAGCCACATGAGGTCTAGCATTGTCGTGCATTAAGAGGAACCCAGGGCCAACTGCACCAGCATATGGTCTCACAAGGGGTCTGAGGATCTCATCTCGGTACCTAATGGCAGTCAGGCTATCTCTGGCGAGCACATCAAGGGCTGTACGGCCCCCTAAAGAAATGCCACCCCACACCATTACTGACCCACTGCCAAACCGGTCATGCTGGAGGATGTTGCAGGCAGCAGAACGTCCTCCACGGCGTCTCCAGACCCTGTCACGTCTGTCACATGTGCTCAGTGTGAACCTGCTTTCATCTGTGAAGAGCACAGGGCGCCAGTGGCAAATTTGCCAATCTTGGTGTTCTCTGGCAAATGCCAAACATCCTGCACGGTGTTGGGCTGTAAGCACAATCCCCACCTGTGGACGTCGGGCCCTCATGCCACCCTCATGGAGTCTGTTTCTGACCGTTTGAGCAGCCACATGCACATTTGTGTCCTGCTGGAGGTCATTTTACAGGGCTCTGGCAGTGCTCCTCCTGTCCCTCCTTGCACAAAGGTGGAGGTAGCGGTCCTGATGCTGGGTTGTTGCCCTCCTATGTCCTCCTCCACGTCTCCTGATGTACTGGCCTGTCTCCTGGTAGCACCTCCATGCTCTGGACACTACACTGACAGACAAAGCAAACCTTCTTGCCACAGCTCGCATTGATGTGCCATCCTGGATGAGCTGTACTACCTGAGCCACTTGTGTGGCTTGTAGACTCCGTCTCATGCTACCCCTAGAGTGAAAGCACCGCCAGCATGCAAAAGTGACCAAACCATCAGCCAGAAAGCATAGGAACTGAGAAGTGGTCTGTGATCACCACCTGCAGAACCACTCCTTTATTGGGGATGTCTTGCTAACTGTCTATGCTTTCCACCTGTTGTCTATTCCATTTGAACAGCATGTGAAATTGATTGTCAATCAGTGTTGCTACCTAAGTGGACAGTTTGATTTCACAGAAGTGCGATTGACTTGGAGTTACATTGTGTTGTTTAAGTGTTCCCTTTATTTTTTTGAGCAGTGTATAATTAGCACTTCAGCCACCTTACTATGGTTATACCCATGTAACCAAGAAATTGTTTTAAACTGTTATTCCAGCCTACACATAAAGCAGCAAATACAATCACCTCCTGATGTCACTTTATTATACAAATTCACTGCCCAGGAGAGCTCATTGTAAAACAGTGAACAGTACTTAAAAATTGTTGGGATTTTTTCACCCACAGGTAATTTTATACACCTTAGATAACCAAAAGGAATGTGGAATGTTTTTAAAAAATAGGCAAAGAGCATCTGTATAAGTAGTCCTTGACTTACGACCATAGTTGAGCTCAAAATTTATGTTGCTAAATGAAACATTTGTAAAGTGACTTTTGCCCCATTTGTGACCTTTCTTGCCACAGTTGTAAAGTGAATTATTACAGTCGTTAAGTTAGTCACGTGGCTGTTAAGTGAATCTAGCTTCACCACTGACTTTGCTTATCAGAAGGTCACAAAAGTTGATCACATGACCCTGGGACACTGCACCAATCATAAATATGAACCAGTTGCCAAGCATCAGCATTCTGATCCTGTGACCATGGGGATGCTGCAACGGTCATAAGGGTGAAAAATGATAAGTCACTTTTTTCAGTGCCATTGTAACTTTGAACGGTCACTAAATGAACTGTTGTACATCGAGGACTACCTGTATTATCTTCTCAAACTGGCCCTCACCTGCAGGGTCCTAATGGAGGTAGCCGTGCTAGCAAAGAGCCTCCACGGCACTGAAGCTCCAGTAAACGAGGCTCTGAAAGCAATTTCTGCATAGTGTCCTGATGCAAGGTGATTTGAGCTGAAAGTTCCTGCAAAGATGAAAAGCTACAGATGATAACACAGCAAAGGGTAATAGACAGGGCCAACGAAATGAGAAGTATGCCCCCACAAAGACTGACAAGAGAAAATTAACAAGCCTCATGCCACTCTAAAAGAAACCCACTGCTTTGTACATTCCATGCTTTAAAGATTAATGAATTTGCTATATTTGTATTATTTAGCTTGTTTCTTTTGGTCACAGGGAACAGCGAGCATCTGTTTGCTTGGAAAACTATTTCCAATGAATGACCTAGTTCTTATGAATAAAGGTTTATTTTTCACTGAGATGGTAAACATTAGTTGGCTTATACCACTTCTAATTGAAAATGTGGCTCTTAGTACTGACTGCCTCTTCACTATAAATAAAAATAGTCCTTTAAAAAACCTGCAAGACTACAATTTTATATGCCAGATGTCTTTATTGTGTTCTCTGAATAATGTGCCGCATGATTCTTAATGATAAAAGCCAGCCTGGTGACTTTGGGCCACTCACTCTCTCAGCCAAACCCACCTCACAAGATTGTTAAGGAAAAAATAGGAAGAGAAAGTTGTGTTGGATATGTTTGCTACCTTGAGTTATTTGTAAACATAATAAAGGTGGGATACAATAAATAAGTGCAGGGATAAATAAAACTTGTGGTCTAAAGTGGTACAGACCAGCCACTCTTTTACTACTTCTGTGAGAACTGTTTTGATCTTATGAATGTGGAAATACATCAGTGAGGTTCTACAGGGACTAGAAGATCTTAGAAAGATTTTTTTCTGGTGGAAAAAGGTTTTTTCAAATGCAGCTTCTTTAGAGTCATCAGATTTTTATTGGGATTCAATACAGAATAAGTGAAGTATGTGCAAGATTATTAGGAAAGATTCCAATTATCTGCTCTGTCCAGTTTTGGATAATCATTGCAACTATCATGTGAGTAAACAGGCTGATAGCACGTGGCAAGATAAGGCAAGTCTATTATCTGCAACACAGACAGTATATCATTTACCAATCTGATAACAAGTGGAATGGAATAATAGATAAAATGGGAAGAAGGAGAAACGAAAGTATTAGAAGGATAAAATGAGCAAAAAGAAGGTGCTCTCTGAGGCAAGTGTCCCCAAGTCCCAGGCCATGGACCAGTACCGATCCATGGCCTGTTAGGAAATGGGTTGTTCAAGCAGCAAGTGAGAGAGTAAAGCTTCATCTGCGCATGCACAGGATTTAGGTTGCACATGGAACCATTCCCCCCTCCCATTTGTGGAAAAATTATCTTCCATGAAACTGGTCCCAGTGGGGACTGCTGCTCTAAAGCGTTGAGAGACTCAATGTGTGAGACTCAAGAACAGTTTTCCTAGGACCTCATACCTCACAGCACCAAATAATTTACAATAGGCTACAGTGTGATTTTATTCAAAAATGAGGTTCATTATGATGTTCAACATGATTTGCTTTAAGATAATATGAATCCAGTAGGAAGACCAAGAATTTATTATATATTTATGAATTTGTAAGAGCAAACCCTATTCTCTACTAGCACTGATGATGTTACCCAGTTTGGTAATGAAAACAGAAAAAAGAAAAGATCCAAGCTCAGAAAGCCCCAGTTTGAACCCTGATCTACAAATATTCTCTCTATTGGTATTTATCATAAAGTCATAAGTAGATATATGTATACATTCAGAAATCCATACAACTTATTGTGCATCATTAATATGAGTATTTGTACTGTCTCTTATTTTTCATATACTTTTGCTTACTTTTAGCGAAAAACACAGCCTGCCACAAATACACATATTGCTGATTTCAAATGATAAACTCCTGCTAAAGAGTCTTTGCTTAAAAATCAACTATTCATATATTAAATTATTGTATCAATATAAAGAGAATTAAAACAATCTTCCATTACACATTTTCATACAGTATATTGGAGAAGAAAACAGAAGAATCTACCTTAGGCTGCTTCTAATGGTATCCATGCCCGCAAAATGTCTGAAGTCTCATACCATTTGGAGCAACATTTTGGAAAATATTAGTGGTCCAAATGGTGGGTCTCATGTGAGGTATGAAAACTGCTCAGGGTTGATTTAATAATATTTCAGTAAATTTTAAAGTAGCATTGTTTTATTTGAATTTCTGGGTATTCCATAAGCTATTTAGAGTGTTGGTAAATACCCTGGTGCTGGGAGGTGCTTTTTGTCCAACTAACTCAATTCTCTAGCCCTTACTTTCACTATTAGTGTCTAATGAACTCCCTCAACTGGGGGATTAATCAGAGACAGAAGCAAGAGTGAAAACTGTTATCCCATGATGACTATTGCTGCAACTCTTTTCCAAGTACTAGCAAGAGGAAAATCTACTTCTCATTGCATAATTCAATTGCATAACCACTTAATTTCTGTATAAGTATCATATGCATTTACCTCCTGATTTGATGCTGTTCCCACTGTGTTGAGGTGGTCACTGGCTTCACACACAGTCTGGAGAACAGCACAACAGAGATCTTGTAGTTGTTCAAGAGCCTGAATAGACATGGGGGAAGGTGCATTGTGTTACAAAAGCAGAGAGTTACAATATATTTTAATGAAGAACTTACATTATAAGAATGTCCAAGATAGAACTACATCTGAAGTGGATGATTCCTGTAAATGTAAGGTATGTGCTGACATCTAAAGCATCTATACTATAAAGGCTATCTCACAGAAACATTAACTATGTATTCTTGAAGGAAAAAGGCAGGAAAGTTTCTTGAAGGAAATGAGGGAGGCTGCTTTAATTCTCTGGATCAATTATTTGTGTTAATATAAGGTCCATTCATGACTATTTTCCCATACCTGATGTTCTCTAACCCATTTGGGTGGTGAGTAGCTCAGAGTCCCACCTAGTGCTGGGGTCAACTGATCCAAGGCTACATAATGTGGAAGTTCATGCAGCAAAAGAAGCCGGATTTCCTGCAGGATAAGGGGACTGAATCAGATACAAAGAGTTCCCAAATTCTTTTCAATAATATCCAATATCTTGTCATCCCTCTTCCTTACCTCAGCCATGGCTAGACCTAAACTGATGTTAGAAATAGTAACTCATCACAATCTCTGAAGGACAAAAATACACAATGAAGTGTTTATTTTGTCCGAAAAAAATGTCTTTTTTTTGTGCAACAACTTGCATGATAGAAACAATAATTTTTTCTCCTCATCCCTAACTCTTAATATTCTAATATTATTTGCATGCATACATTTTTGCTATATCCTCCAAATTGTTTAAGGGATTAGATACATAACTCTACCAATCCATTGATTTTATGTGTATTAAATAAATTATAAATGAGCTAAATTTAGTTAATAACATCCAGCTCATACACTTCAGTTTAGAGAATGCCCAGAGGTTTATGTAATCACATAATTATAAGCTACCTCCTTCCCATATCATTAGGTTTCAATGTTCTGCCAAAAATTTACCAGCCCTAAAGGAGAAAACAATACATTGTATATCTTTTTCTTCATTATCAGATAAAAGCATTATTGACTAATGTCTCAACTGGATAGAAAGGTAGAGCTAAATAAACAGTAAATGGCATCTCAAATGGCCAAAAATTAGTAAGTTTCTCTTATCAGTCCAGTTTTTCTATAGTGGACTTGCCTCCAATTAACACATTGATGGATTCACACCATGCCAAAGCATGCATTAAACAGAATTATTAAATAAACTATAGTTAGCTGGGATGCACAACCTATAAACTAGGAGTAGCCAAGCCCTGGGCCATAATCTGATACTGGGACACGGCCCATTCGGAACCAGGTTGTACAAATGGCAAGCGAGTATGCACTTGCAAGTAGGTCCACTGGTACAAACTGGGGGCAAGTGCGCAAAGTTCTATTTGAATGAGCGGTAGGCACCTGCTGCTTGCACAAATGGAGCTACATACATGCATACACTTGCGCACCGCTCCTGCAGAACCATCCTCTCTCCCTTCTGCTGCTACCACTAATCCGCAAAGCTGGAAAGTTGGGGACCACTGTAGTAAACCATTAGCCACTGTTTGTACCAAACTCTAAACTAAAATCCAATCAAACCATATCACAGTTTAGCAAGATGTTTATACCCACCCTGTGTTATTAAACAACCATCCCGTGTGACATTGATACATGTATAAAAGGAGCAAAGCTTCAATCACTGAGTTGTGACTGCTATCTTGATTTTGATCAGGACTCTCTCATGTCTCTAACCATGACCTAGATATCTCACTCCCCCTGCCCTTATTCTCCCTTCTTCTTCAGCAAACATTCCTCCAGGAAATAGTTTGCAATAGAAACTCAGAGTTCTTACCACAACAGGTTCTAAGGTCAATTCTTCTTCATGGGGTACAAAACGATCATCAGAAGGTAAGATCACCAGCAGCTGACTGATGGGAGTTGGTGCAGTCTCCTAAATAAATAAAAGGTTTTGCTTCACAGGCTCATAAAAGTTGCATACAATAATCAGAAGCAAAGGGAGAGAGTTCTACAGGCCCAGAAAGTGAGGCATAGAAAGGTAGCAGAGCTACCTTGTTTTCCAATATATGAGAAACAAAAAAAGTTACAACAAAATACTTTTGTCAGGGGCCAGAGTCAATCAAAGGCAGGGATCCCCAACTCCTGGCCCGTGGCCCACTACCGGATCATGGCCTATTCAAAACTGAGCCATGTGAGCAGCAGGCTGGCACAAGCATGTGCACGCACAGCTTACCTCACGTAAGCAGCGGACCAGTATGCATGCAGCTCAATTCATACGAGCAATGGAATGGCATGCATGCATGTGCACATGTATGTACGCTGGGCCACTGCTCGTGTAAGTTGAGTTGTGTGTGCATATGTACCAGCCCACCACTTTCAAGGCCCAGTTCCCCTATCCCAACCCAGCCGGGATGCCAAGCTGCAAAAGTTGGAGACAACTGATCTAAGGCTTGGCCATGGTTTCCATTATAAAACAATGAAAACTTTTGGGGTTTTTTTTTCAACTAGCACCATTTTGTTCCTTATTTTGATTATATAAATCATGTCAAAATCACTCTAATGTATACAGTTTATCTCCCATTCCTCCAGAATATGAGATTTAGTGCCAATTTGCATAAACTTTGCTCTTCATATTTTGAGGTTATTAGAAATGTACTATTTTATTAAAATAGTAAATAGATCTTCAGGCTGCTTATTGAGGGTCAAGGAAAAAAACTTCAGGTTTACTTTTCCAACTTCCGTGTCATTCATATGTATTGGATTGCATTTCCCATCATCCTCAATTAGAATTACAGGGAGAAGGAAAGGCAACTTGAGTCAGGATGATACCTGGAATGCTCTTAAAGCTGGCAGCAATACGGGGGCCTGGAAGGCCCAGTCATCCACATGGCTTAGGTCCAACAGCATTGTCAGTCCAAGAATCTTGAGCTCTTGCCTAGAACATAGGTGCAAAAAACAAGAGATGTAGAGTTGCCTTCTTTTCAGCATCAGGTGTGCCAGATTGGCTTAATGTAACATTTACCAAAGAGGCCAAATCATAGGAAAATGGGGCAAAATAGTTTGCTTGGAGGCATCTCTAAGAGCTTTTCTGAGAGTGAGTGAGTGAGCGAGCGAGCGAGTGGTGGGGGGAGAGATTCTCACTCGGTAACGTTTTATCATGTGTATAAAATTTTATCATAAATGCATACAATGGTCAGAAAATGAATTTTATTATCATTTATTACCACTGTATTTGTAAATGGCTTCTAACTAAGGTAGTCGCTAAATAGGGAGTGTGATTAACAAACCTGTTACAAAGTGCAAAATTAACAATTGGATATAGAATTATAATAAGGATGATAATAAATGTAACAAATATGGAGTAAATCACAACAAATTAGAATTTTCACTCCAGTAACAAATATGGTAGCCAGTACAGTCCCTAAAATTTAAAATAACCTTGAATATTATTATTACTATATCTATACTGTGGATATTATTAATTCAATGTTTATTTGAAAAATTAAATGACTGCCTATTATACTATATTATGCAACATAATCTGCTAAGAAATACATAAATAAAAATTAAAACTCCAGGTTTTTTTTAATTAAAGATTGTGGAGCAACCTATGCAATGGGAGAAGATTTAGCTCATTTCCATAACTGCTATATTCTACTAGATTATGAATAACATTTTTCAAATAAGAAAGCTCAAAGACATTTTTAGTATTTGAGGTCAAAACAACCAACCTTTGCAAACAGAATGCTTTTAAGCTAATTGGATTCTTAATGGCTTCCCATGGCAGCTTCCTGAAGTTCTGATTTTATGAGAAGAATTTCCTGAATTCTTCACCTGCCTCAATTAATTACTTTAGTCTTTTGGAAGGGAGCCTTGACTGCTTCATCTGAAGGCACTTTGATATACAGTACAGCTATTGCATCAGGCTGATCTAGTGGATTTTTAGCTGGATTTTGGCAAGGCACTTTCTTTAATAAACTAGTCAATTTTGCTGCCTGAGACAAGGGACAAACAGCATTCTGACTAAGCAAGGAGCTAAGTTTATCTCTTAGTTATAAGTCACAGCTAAAAACCTTAAGACAAGCAACTATGTAACACACAGCAGCAGCCTTTTACTCCATATATCTAGGCATTGCTCATTTACCACGCTACCATCTCTGGCTCAGCAAATGCTAGAACATAGCAGAAGCAGATCAAAGTATATTGTGAGCATCTTGTCAGTGATACGTGTGGCTTGAACTACTTTCATTTCTAAACTCTGACACAGGCAATGATAACAAGAAAAGGTTAATAGAGCCAGATTTCAATAGTCACTGTCACCAAGACTCAGGAGGAGCAGTTCTGGAGGAAGACAGCAGCATCCAAGCAATTGTTCTTTGAGGCTGTTATCTCATTTTGTGTAAATCAAGGGTCTTCAAACTTGGCAATTTAAGACTTGTGGATTTCAACTCCCAGAATTCCTGAGCTAACATGACTGGAGGAGGAATTCTGGGAGTTGAAGTCCACAAATCTTAAATGTCAAGTTTGAAGACCCCCTAGTCTAAATAACAGGTTACCTGAGAAGTGAGTGCATGTATCTTAAGGTATTAACCAGATCCTCTTGTCCTGGAGGCAACTCATCCTGAAGAGGCTGGGGCACTATGGTCAGCAAGGAATGGCCAGCCTTGTCTATTCCTCCTGGTGTGGAGAGAAACAGAAGGAAAATATGAGCTATAAGTCATAACTTTATTTACCTTGCAATGCTTCTGGCCTCTACTTCAATAAAAACAAAACATGAGTTGGCTTCCCAGCTACCAAATCTCATAGATAGGGCCAAATCAGTCTGAGATCAGCAGCCATTCACATGACCAGTCCCAGACATTCAGAATTTGCAACAAAAGGGTGCATGGACAAGAACCACTTTCCTACCAATCACACTTGGTGAATTATGATCTTTGGTGCTTTCTAAGATTTAAACCCACTTGTAGGACTTTAATTCTCCAGAAATTGTCTTCACTGGGTGCATCTGCAATTTCATCAGATTGCTGCAAACCACAAAAAGAATTGAAATGGCACCACACGGCCGTTTAGTTTAGTTTACTTTATTGTCACTACACCTCGTACAACAAAATCAAACACCATCTTCAGTGCACATCATGAATTTATTTAGATTTTATTTATTATTTAGATTTTATTTAGATGACTTGGGTTACCACCTTATAAAAAGTGTAATGTATATCTATCACACTCCATTAATAACATAGTTGAACTCTCCAAAGTAAAAAACAATGAATTCCATTTGAGTAATTTATGTAACTTTCATAAATTAACATTTCTCTTGATTTGTTTTCCCCTGCCTTGGCTAGAAAAGTAAAACAGAGTGACTTCCAAGTTCTGTGGCATGGAATATGATTAATGTGAATATCCCATGACATTCTGACATTGGGCTAAAATTCCCAACCTCATGACTACTTTAAGTCTGTCTTAAAATATGTATTAAGCTTATATTACATGAATAATATAAACCCCTGGTTTCCATAACAAAGTCAATACTAATTGCAGCACCAGCATTTTATAAGCATATGGAAAGTTGAAATGCAATTACTTTCAAAAAGAAACAGAGGTTGGAATTTTTATTTACGCAGATACAAAGCAGATGTGGAAGACAGATCTGAGGGCAGACCACTGGAGTTCATAAGCTACACCAACCTATCAGACCAAAATAGATTGTGTCTGCATGTGTGTGTCTGTGTGTGTGTTCTACAGGAAGAACATCTGAGCTCATTTTCTCCATTAAAAAAAAAACTGCTTCATCTTCCAAATGGTATGTTTCTGGAAAAACACTGAAACTTCCCCCCACAGATCCAGTATTCCATTTCCTACAACATATCATGTTGCAGCAAATACAAAATACATAAATTTGGAGTCTGGGAAAAGTTAACATAAGGTCATTTACAGAGGGAAAATTCCCCATCTTTTCTTTCTGCCTGTAGCCAATTGTGAATCCTAAAAGTTTTAGGAGAAAATGAGAGACAATCAGGGATAAAGAATGGGAGGGGAGGAGCAGAAAGCAAAATCAGAATCCCATTTAATGCTAAAGTAGCTCATCAATATAGATGAAAGTTTAGTTACCAAGTTTTTGTGGGAAGAAGGGTTACAGGGGAGAGGATAAGATGAAGGATATCTTCCCATTAACTTCCATAAGACTTGTTTTAATCCCAAAAGGTGTTTTCCCATTGTGATGGATTAGATTCCATCATTCCTAGTCAGCAGATTCAATGATTAAAACATAAATCAGCTTGTGTACAATTGGGAAAGAGTGGTTATCTGGAAAGATTACTTGCAAGTATTGTTTATGTGCTATTCTTGTCATTTGTAATTGGATTGCAAGGGAATCATATCGTGATCATTTGATTAAAATTAAGGCTGTTGACAAGACACTTCATTTCTACTTTTCCACCCCCTTCAGGTCTGCATGTGTCCTTGGTTTAATCTCATAAACTTTCTAAAAGCATTCAAATTTAACAGCAGCAAATCTTTCCTTCATTGCAAAAAAGACAGAAAACTGACATTCCACCACAGTTGACATCAACTTCATCTTCTGTTGACATATAGACTTCACCTCAACAAAACCAATTAGATAAATATAATCTCAGTTCAGCTATCCATTATGATGTATGAATTCTTAACCAGGTTAAATAAAGACTTGGATATGCACTTTACATATATTTATATATAGGTGGGCACTAAAGGGCTGTTTGCAAGACAATGACAAATAGAAAACATTCAGGAAGAAAGCAAAAGCACTTCTATACTATTGCTAAGGAAATGTTGTACCTTCATGTAGTCACCACAAATCAAGCTTAACTCAAGGGCATCTCTATCTTTCAAAAAAATGTAATTAGTGTTAACCTGAGCAAAATGTCATAATTAATCATGTTGTGCAGCCTAGCATGTTTATGTGTTTTATGACTCATGATTTTGTGAGTTAATCTGGCATTCAGGATAAGCATATTGTGAGTTTGAGATCAATATAAACCGTGTAGAATTATCATGAGTAGCAGAAAAGTTCACTACCCTCCTCACAGATTGGGTTTCTGATGACAACTAAAGATAGACATCTGCAAAAAATCTTCACACTTACAGGTATGCGTGCTTTGGCACTATCTAAGCTTAAACTTTGATTGTACAATTTCAGGCTTGCAAGCAAATCAACACATATGCAACTAAATACAATGATCTCTACAGCACAGAAATCTACACTATATACAGAGATATCTGTGGAGATTCTCAGTCATCCAGGTCATAGTTGTCTCAAAGGTGCTTTTTCAAAAGGCAACTTGATTTTGGTTCGGTTAGGTTATTCCTTGAGGAAGATGTTTCACTTCTCATCCCAAAAGCTTCTTCAGTTCTAACTGAATGGTGGAGAATGCAAGGATTCCTTGCAGTCATTTAGTCATTAGCATTATTTTTAAGAGTGGTTGAGGCAACTTGAGGCACAGATAAACTTCCAAGTGGTCTCAACTACTCTCAGAACGTTCTAATGACCAGATGACTGCAAAGAATATAAATCCATTCTCTAGTTTATTGGATGAGAAGTGAAACATCTTCCTCAAGGGGAAAAAACTAGTGAGATATGTACTCAGATGTCACTTCTAATCTGATATCAGAGCTACAATTTATGGAGAAATAGGATAGCTCTCTTCTGCTTGTGTGATTAATTTTGCAGGTTTTTTTTTTTTAAATAATGCCTCAGTAGTTTCAAGTGCCACTAGGGATCCATGCTATCCTTTTTCCTTTCGTCTGTGCTGAAATTACCCTATGCTGGAAGAAGCAACGACCCACAATCCTTTTGAATTGAACATATAGGTTACAACAAATGGGAACTAAATTCTAAAACAAGGCAACATTGTTTGCTTGTAATTTACATAAACAGTATGCATCAACTCTTTTCAAATGACTGCAGTATTTCACAGGGAGAAAAAAAAGAGATACATTCATAGGGGAATCCAAGAATTATATCCAAAGGTTCCTTCCTCCAATGGAAAGAGTCTTCCACTGATAGAAAAGATCTTTTTGTCAGAGGAAGTCAACCTTTGGATCTAATCCCAAATGTCTCAAACACTTCAGCTGAAAGGAAATGGCATTTCCCTCTCCAATTTAGAAGGTTCTTAAAAGGTATTATGGAAAACAGGTCAATTGGGGGTTATAATCATTGGTAACTAAATGTCATCTCCATTATATGCTATTCTTTTGAATAGCAGATTCTGAGGATTACTGTTAACTATGACTTCTAATGTAGCTCTTCCATTTCCAAACAGGTGTCCTTCAATTGCAAAGGAAATTGTAAGGAAGGTAATTCAAATACATCTGGAAGACACCAAAAGCCTGTTGTATCAGAAAGGAGATGTGTGAAAAAGCATGCAGACAAAAGATTGAGACTTAGCTAATATCAACTGTCGGTTTCTAGACGTAAGAAATACAAAGCTTAGATGACCTAATGTCCCTTATTGTAGTACATTAAAGTGTGGTATGTCCATATAAACTAGTTTGTTCTAAATCTGAATAGTTTCCCTTTTGCATTGATTCATAAATCGCCACTCAAGCAGGGCCTAACCTAATCACTTAACAGAATAACAGAGTTGGAAGGGACTTTTGAAGTCTTCTAGTTCAATTGTCTGCTCAAGCAGTAGACCCTGTATCATTCCAGACAAGTGGCTGTCCAGTCTCTTAAAATCTCCAATGATAGAGCATCCCAAACTTCTGAAGGAAAGTTATTCCACTAGTCAATGAGGCATCCAAATGATTGGAACACTGGCAACAGAACACTGAACCAAATCAAGCATTAGTTTGTTCTAACTGGGATGTTTTTGGAATTGCTATGGCATGAAAATGAAAAGGATGAAAAGAATTGGAAAATTCTGCAGAAAATAATGGCTATCAAAATCTCCATATTTCACAAACGTGGCCTCTCTGGCAAGTTGATCCAGGGAGCAATGAACAGGAATTTTGCTTGTGGGCCTTCTAGAAACTACAGATGATCTTCATTTAACAACCACAAGGGTTGAATGAGTGTGTTACAACCAGTCCTCATATTTATGGCAGCTGCAGTGTTCCCAAGGTTACTTGCTCACATTCTTATTATTCTTGCCAACTTGTTACAAGCAGAATCAATGAGGATGCCAGCAAGAATTTAGAAAAGGTGACCATGTGACATCATCACTTAACAACCTACAGTGATTTGTTTAATAATGCCAACAGGAAGTGCTAGAATTTCCACTGCCAAAAGCAGCATGGTCACGTAATGTCACACTAAGATTCTGTCACTTAGTGATGTAAACTCTGAACTCAATTACTATTGTTTAAATGAGAACTACATGTATATCCAGGTTTTAGAGGTGATGTTCATAAAACTGAAACATTCTAATAGGTGACATTTTTTTGAAAATAGATTCACCAATCCGGTGCTTTCTTTTCAAGTGTTCTTCTATTCTCTTATTTTCCCCTTATTTCCAAATCTTTTTTTGTTTACACTTTCCATGTAGTACCCCCTCAGGGAGGCCTGCCTCCTGTTTTGAAAGCCCAGAGGCCTTCAGTAACATGATCAGGCACTGGTGTCATTCTGGGTTGTTTGGTGGCTTGAGGGAAGAGAGTGGTTTCTGCAGACTGTTGTGATGTGGCGAAGACCGAGGCTTGCCTCACTCAGTCCTCATGATGTTTAGTAAGATGGCAAAAATGTTGGTTAAAGGACAAGTTTGTTGGAAGAGCCTGCAGAGACTCATTTTGTAATGTTGATATTCATAGGAAAGTTTTGGGCTGCAATCTGAGGCCATGGTTTGTTGAGCTAAGTATATTCTATGGTTAAATCATATTGCTGGAATTTCAACCTGGATTGCCCCACATTATTTTACTGCTCACAGTGGAAAATACAAATGGGCGATTGCACCATTACAGAAGTAGTCACCCTCTGTATATTGCACCTGAACCATCTATGATTAATGGCATCCAAAATCTGTTTCTCCATTGTCTTCACCCATTATCTCCAATTAATTTCTCTCCAGTTGGTTAATGTTGCTTAATTGTGACATCTAGTTCAACCCTACATAATGGAGCAGAGGGGCAGACAGCAGAAGGTTGCTTTGCCTTGAAAAGTCAAAGAAAATAAGCATATTGAGGACAAAACTGTCAGTATTTGAAATACACAACAACATCAAAAGCGGGCAAAAAAATAATGAAAAAAAGTGTGGATACTTGTTAGGGAGAGGCATTAATACTTTCTAAACAGCAAATGCAGAGTGATGCTGTGCAGTAGAGATGATGTAGAGATGATGTAAACGCAACATCCATTAGGAAGGAACTGCTGAGAGTCTCACACACTCTGAAGCATCTATCTATCCTCTGAATCCAAAGCACTGCACACCCCACTGATTTGCCTAAAGCTAATTAGATCCACAGTGGTGCAGTGGTTAGAATGCAGTACTGCAGGCTACTTCTGCTGACTGTCAGCGCACTGCAATTTGCAGTTCGAATCTCACCAGGCTCAAGGTTGATTCAGCCTTCCATCCTTTCAAGATCAGTAAAATGAGGACCCAGAATGTTGGAGGCAATAGAGTATGCTGACTTTGTAAACCGCTTAGAGAAGGCTGTAAAAGCACTGTGAAGCGGTATATAAGTCTAAGTGCTATTTCTAATTAGTTAACTGACTTGTGGAATTGAGAGATGTGAAAATCGTAAGATAGTAGACAAAGTGTCATGATGCAAACCCCATACATCTGATCTTGCACGAGAGATCAGGGCTTGCAAAAAAATGCTTTGTCTGCTATCTTGCTGCTTTGGACCCCCTTACAGATGCTGCTAGTGGAACCCACTACAATAATCATCAATTTGGATGTGTGAACTACAGGCCCCATCATTCCCCAAGGTAGTCGTGTACAATGTTGGTTTGATGAATGTTAAGTGTAGTCCTGCACATCTGAATACTACCATGTCAAGAGAGAGTGATAAACGAGCCTCAGGATCCATCATAACTTATTCTGATTCTGCATTGTCATACTGTTGTGGATAACTATCAAAGCACTCTCCAGATGTATTGGATTAGAATTCTCAGAATTCCCAATCAGATAACTATTGGCCACACTGGCTAGAAATACTCTTTGGGAAGAATGATCCAACAATTGAGATATCCAGATCAGGGAATGCCATATTATGCCAGATTAAATTTTCTAATACTTCTTTTTGAAGATTTATTAGAAAGGAAAAACAAATCTTCAACATCTCCAGATGATTATCATTTAATGACTTACCTGTCAGAGCAAAAACTCCTGATTGAAGAAGATTCCAGTTTACAGATTCCCCAAGACGAGCCACCGTGGGTAAAACAGAATTTTGTACTTCCCTAGGACCCTGATCAGCTGCTATGTCTACGGCCTCTTCTTTCCCATCAACACTTGCTGGTTCATTCTTCTTTGGCAAGTCAGTAAGCCCTGGTTCTTTGCTGTTGAGATCCTGTTCCACCATACATTGGTCTTCAGAAATGTCAGCTTCTTTTTCTTGGATGTTCACCTCCTCACTATCAATTCTTGGTTCACTAGTCATGGGCTTAGCATTTGGCTCTTCAGTGTTAAGTTTTGGGCCTTCCATATTTCTTTCTCCAGAGCTGCCTTCATTGTCATCAATGGTACATTTTCCTGTGCTGTCTTCTGGCTCAGTAGCACCAGCAATACAGTCTCCAGTGGTGACAGTCAAGTCCTTATTGTTGGCTCCCTCCCCTTGAGTTTCAAGGCTTTGGTTTCCTGTGATTCTATCTTTTTCTTGAGTGTCATCACACTCCGTGATATCAACACATGATACTTTGATGCTGTCTGGATCTCTGGTACTAACATAAACACTTCCAGTCTCAGAATCCTGTTCTCCTGGACCAGTGCAGGCCTCCTCTTTTTCAGCACCCATTTTAAGATCAGAACTTTCTGTTTCTTGGTTAGCAGAATCTGTCCCCTGTTTAATCCGACCACCAGCTCCTTTCCCAGCACCTTTCTTTTTTCTCCGGTTTCCCTTGGTGGTACGTTTTGGGGTTGCTAAAGCTGGAGCATGGCTTTCCTTGCTGTCTTCCTTAGGAGGAGTTGGATCTTGGGGAATGGATTCAAGCAATTCCTCTTTCCCTAGAACTGTGTCTTCAGCAATGCCATCGCTACTACTCAGAATGGGTGGTGGTTTTGTTTCAAGGGGATCTAGGGTTTCCTCCAGTTGCTTAGGATTCAAGTTCCCAACTGTTCTGGGAGTTTCTAAAACTGGGTCTAAAGCTGGGCTAGGGTTTGGTCTCAGCTGAGTTACCTTCTCATCCTGGATTCCCTTCTCTTGGCTAGACTTCTCTGCCTCCTCAGTTTTGCAAGCCTGTCGCAAAGCAAAGTTCTCCCCGCAGCCTGACTTATGATGGAGCCAGGCTCGGTGGCGCCGGTTCCTATTTTTGTTATGTCCCTTGCGAGCAGGCATTGTCTGAATCTGGGCACTGCAAGGTTGCAGGATTCTGGGTGTTTGATGCAAGGTGGGGCTGACCTCCAAGAGGTGAACGTATTCCCCCTCAGATTCCCGGTTCTCTCCGCCAGAATGGCGTCCGTCACCAGGACTCCTTGCTCCCAGTACCTCAGGAGTCAAATCCGTAGGGCAGTGCTGCCCCACAATAAATCCATCTTTGTGCACAAACTGAGGGTACACAAGCTCAGCCCAGGGCAAGCTCAGCACTTTTTCTCCAGCTGCCAACAAGCAGCGTTCCAGGCGCCCTACCCTACGTTCTTTGTTGATGCCATTAAGCCATTCAATGGTAAACAGGAATCGATAGGAGTCCGGAGACACAGGCAACTCCTGAACTCCCCGGCCCTCCAGCGAGAGGCATTTCAGGACTAGGCGGGGAGCACATTCCCGGTGAGGCACCACTTGCAAGTAGAAATCCCCGGGACACAAATGTTGCCATGGCAAGGAGCCCAGCTGGACAAGGACTTTTTCATGAAGGCACAGGGGCCAACCTTCATGGCAAAAGACAAAGCCACTATACTGAGCCTGAGGAAGAGGGAAAGAGAGAAGAGGAGAAAGGGAAGTCAGTTAGATGTTATATTAAGAAATACAGAATACTGGAACCTATATACAGGTAATCCTAGACTTACAACAGTTCATTTAGTGACTATTTGAAGTTACAACAGCACCGAAAAAAGTGACTTGTGATCATTTTTCACACTTATGACCTGGTTGCAGCATCTCCAGGGTTATGTAATTTACATTCAGATGGTTGACAACTGGTTCATATTTATGACAATTACAGTGTCCCAGGGTTGTGACATTCTGATAAGCAAAGTCAATGGGGAAGCCAAATTCACTTAACAACTGCAGTGATTCACTTAACAAATTTGGGAAGAAAAGTCATACAATGGGGCAAAAACTCAGTTAACAAATTTCTCACAGCAATAGAAATTTTGAGCTCAATTTTGGTTATAAGTCGAGGACTATCTGTATACAGTACAAATATTGCATTAATTGGTGGTATATCATTCTTTTTCTTCCCATCATGAAACAACAAGCATCTCCTAACTTAGCTCAACTCTGGAATTTCACCACGATGAAGAACTCGATTAGAATTCTGCACAAAAACTAAAATTGCCAAATAAGAGGACAAGAGTGCATATGGGGAAGGAAAAAAAAGGGGTGGGGAATCTAATTTACACAACCTTTTTTTAAGACTCTCCAATCAAAGAATGTTGACAACTATATATCCCACCCAAAATCCATTTAGCTAATGCTTATTTGCCATATAAGTTTACTTATGAAGGAGTTACTAACAAAAAAATGTGGGAACATGATGCAGGTAGTCCTTGACCTATTATCAGTAATTTAGCAAGCTATGATAAATTTGAAAAATTTGATAAAGTTGATACTCACAACTGTCCTCAAGGTTATGACTGCCACACCACCCCTGGTCTTGTAACTGTATTTTGGGCACTTGGCAACCGGCTCACATTTATAACCAGTTACAGCATATAAGCATAATTTCCTTTTTTTTTTTTTTTTTTTTGGCTGCTTACAGCATTGAATGAACTAGAGTTAGAGTTCAACCACGATTCACTTAGCAACTATGGTGAACATACTGAACATCATAAAAATGATCATAAAATCAAGTTTAGTCACATGGAGACTCAAGTTATGACCACAATTTACAAACAAAATTCTGGGCTTAACTGTGGTCGTATGTCGAGTGTATCTATACAGTTAAAAAAATTTAAAATACCTAGGAGCCAAAAAAAAATTTCCCATACTTAAATTTAGATTAGAGAAGCTGTGGCCCTCTGGGTATTGGATAACATTTATGGGAATTGATGGGGGATTGAACTCAACACCTCTGGAGGGCTACCAATGTTCTAGCTAACTTTCATACAGAGAGCCACTATGGGATTCTGGCACCAGCATGGATTATTTCTCTGTTGCCCAACACTGCCAAGCTAGATTTCCTGTTCAGAAGTACTCCAGACAAACAGAGAGCCAAACCGAAGCAGGAGCTCACACAGGCTTCACTCTGGATGCGAGCCAAGATGTGCTTGGCAGGAACAAGGAAGTCAAGGGTGTAGCGCAGTGCATCGTGTTGGTACGTCCGCTCCAGCACTTCGAAGACCTGACTCAGAAGGGTAGGGGCTGTGGCTTCGAAAGGAGGGTACAAGGCAGCCAGTGTGCTCTGGACACATTCTTCCACAGGCTCAGGTTCCTGCAAAAACAAGGAATATGTAAGGGGAGGGCATGAGCCTCCAAGAGCCTTTCACCAGCCCATCCAATCCCCATGAAACTATGCAATGAAACAAGTGCAATTTCCTTTATCTATTCCCAAAGCATTGTTCCCTCCTTGCCCAAGTGCAGTGAATGCTCTTCGTAGTTTTGTGGCTTCTGAATACCTTATACCTTGTGATGCTGTCCTAGGACTAGGACCTCTTGCCTTCAACCTTTTCTATTTGATGTCCTTTTGTTGCCTTGCTCAGCCAATTAAAGGGAAGAGCCAGGTTGTTATGGTTACCTGCAGCAATGAGCAACTGGTCATATTTTATGCCTGGAGGAAGACCACTGCCCTCTAGTGATGTGTCAAAAGGAACAAGGGGCAGCCAGGAAATTGCTCAGGGCAATGCGCACAGAGACCAGCAGTGTGTAAAAAAGAGCAGAGGGCATGAGGGGGCAGCAAGAATGAAAACAGTTTGGAAAGGCGCCAAGGAGTATGGAGAGCGGAGGTTCCATCTGGAATACATTAGCAGCTGTGAGCTCATTCCTTCCGCAGCTCCACCCAGCAAAGGAAATTGGGGGGGGGGGGGGGGGGGGGGGAGAGAGAGAGAGAAGGAGGGGCAACAGCAAGAGAAATAGCCATATTTTTTACACCTTCCAATGTACCTACTACAGTCATAATCATTTTTTTCCACAGGCATATTCTGGATTCAAATCTCACACTGGAAGACGCTGCAGGAAAATCACAAAAACTATGTATCCTTGCCTTGTTTCTGAATCCAGATTAAATAATTTTATTAAATCTTTCCCAATTGTTTCTTTGTTCTTGAGCATTCCAAACGCTACAAAGTTAAGCTGGACCTTGATGTGATGATTAGACAAAGAAAATCTTATTAAACTAAGGGCTTGAAAAGATGTGGTTGTCTTTTGTAGCAATTATACTTCGAAAAGCTCCTTAGAGAGAGGGAAGCAAAACAACTGTTAATCTTGACTAACTTTGCACCTTTTACCACTATCTTACCTAATATCCCTCAGCAAGGCTTTAAAAAAATTACAAAAATTTTAAAGAATCCTTTATTGTAATAGTAGAACTAGTTTCGCCATTAGGAAATGGTACGAGAAAATCAGCTCATTTAAATATTTTTGTTATGTACTGTTTTGTTTGGGGGAAGAAGGAACGGTTATTATTTTGCCATGTTTTTAGAAATAACGCAACCATTATTGGGTAACTAAGCACCTTATTTGGTGAAGGAAGGAAGCATCATTATTCTTATGTCTTAGGCTGCAAAATGCAAGTATCCAGCCTTGTATGGGAGACTGGAGTACTTTATACCAGCACTTTCCAAAATAAGAAATGTTGAACTAAAATTCAGTCTGAATGTCTTTCATCTATCAGAGATAAATAGAGGCCGCTTAATTTCTGCTTACAGAAGTTACAGGCAGGTGTACACGGTATATCAGAGATATACAGAAATAAAAACAACATTTAATGGATTAAAGCAATAATTCAGGTATCTGGAAAACCCAGTAATATTCCCGAAACAAATGCAGTCAGATTGGTCATAAGGGAAAACATCTGTAATAAGACAATATTTTATTATTAAACCAATCAAATCTGTACAAACTAGCATGCTAGAGCTCACTCAAGGTTCAGAAATTATGAGCAAACTTTCAAGTTTCAAGAACTTTTTCATTGGGCAGAGTGATTAAAAAACATTGGAGGTAACAATATGACCAATAGTTAAACTATGTCTGCACAGGAAGGTATTTAATGCAGCCTGGGAATAACCTACTTTTGGCATGGCTTAAACATCAGCTACAAGTTTTCTTCCAGTTCTATTGGTGTCTTGGTGTTTTAACTTCTGATGAAGAACCTGAGAATTTACACACTACAGTCCTCAGCGTACAACCACAATTGGGATCAATTAAATGAATCATGCAGCCATTGAGTGTGAGGTTATTAAGCGAATACAGCTTCCCCCATTGACTTTGCTTGCCAAAAGTCATGTGGAAAGGTTGAAAATGGCAATCACATGACCCAGGGATGCTGCAACCTTCATAAATACATGACGGTTGCCAAGGATCGCAATTTTGATCACGTGTCTGTGGGGATGCTGTGATAGTTGTAAGTGCGAGAACCTGTCATACTTTTCTCAGTAAAAACTTCAGACAATGGCTAAACGAATAGTGTTAAGTCAGGGACTAAATTAGTAGACCAGCGAAATACTGTGGACATAATATATTTAGATTTCAGCAAGGCATTCGACAAAGTAGACCACAACCTACTTCTTAGTAAACTAGAAAAAAGTGGAATAGATAGCACCACCACTAGATGGACTCGCAACTGGCTGACAAACCGTACTCAACTTTAAGTCTACATGGAGGGAAGTAAGCAGTGGGGTGCCACAAGGTTCCATCTTAGGCCCAGTACTCTTCAATATCTTCATTAACAACTTAGATGAGCGAATCGAAGGGGAACTTACCAAATTTGCAGATGATACTAAGCTGGCAGGAATAGCTAACATCAAAGAAGATAGGCTCAAGATCCAGATGGATCTTGACAGACTAGAACACTGAGCCATATCTAACAAAATGAAATTCAATGTAGAGGAAAGTAAAGTCCTACACTTAGGCAAGAAAAACCAAAAGTACACATATAGACTGGATGAAACCAGGCTCAATAGCAGTAACTGTGAGAGGGATCTTGGAGTCTTAGTGGACAACCAGCTAAATATGAGCCAGCAGTGTGCAGCAGCCGCCAAAAAAACTAATGCAATCCTAAGTTGCATTAACAGAGGGATATAATCAAGATCAAGGAAGGTACTAATACCACTCTATAAAGCCTTAGTAAGATCACACTTAGAGTATTGCATCCAGTTTTGTTCACCACATTACAAAAAAGATGTTGAGACCCTAGAAAAGGTACAGAGAAGAGCAACCAGGATGATTAGGGGACTGGAGACTAAAACATATGAAGAATGGTTACAGGAACTGGGCATGGCTAGTCTACTAAAGGGAAGGACAAGGGGAGACATGATAGCAGTCTTCCAATATTTGAGGGGCTGCCACAGGGAGGAAGGGGTCAAGCTATTTTCTAAAGCACCTGTAGGCCAGACAAGGAATAATGGATGGAAACTGAACAAGGAGAGATTTAACTGGAAATAAGGAGAAACTTTCTGACAGTGAGAACAATCAACCAATGGAACAGCTTGCCCTCGGAAATTGTGGGAGCGCCATCATTTGAGACTTTCAAGAAGAGATTGGACTGCCATCTGTCAGAAATGATATAGGGTCACCCGCTTGGGCAGGGGCTTGGACTAGATGACCTACAAGGTCCCTTCCAACTCTGATTGTTATATGTTATCTGACTAAATGTATTTTGTCAACCCTGAATTGGCTTGATGTAGAGTTTGCTGTTCCCAATTAGATAGCTCATTTCTTGATATAGAAAGCTCTTGAGAAACCTTCTGCCATTTCAGATTATTTAACTGGAAGGCAAGGCGATACTCCAGTATTTTTACATGCAAAACAGGTGTTCTGCCATGGGGGGGGGGGGGAGAAGTCCTCCCCAAAGAGCCCCCCCCCCCCCCCACACACACACACTTAGGCAAGTGGTATTCTTCCCACCAGGAAGTTCAAAGTCAAGAACCTGGTTGCTTTTTTGGGATTCTCCCTCCCTTAACTGAAACTTGAGTCGAAAGAAACTATTTTGTAAAAAAGGTGGAGGGCACAAAGGTCCCAAATTCCAGCCCCAGCCCAATGCACACGCAAACCTCTCTCTTTTGCTACTTTCTGGCAAAGGGGAAGGAAAATACCGACTTGCAGTCAGCCAAGCTTGAGTTTTATATCCCTGACAGGAAGAGGCAATTCCCCTCCCCTTCAGACCCAGACACTGGCAGGAAGAGTGGGGAGGCCCCTTCTTGGCTCTGAGTCCTGGAGGGGGTGCAAGGCAGACAGATCCACGTGAGAAGCGTGGCTGTTGGAAACACAGACAGATCTTCCCCTAGCATTACTGCCAATATCCAGCCCCCTTTCACTCACACACTGAGAAACAGATGCTCTGTATTTCCATCTACTATTACCAGTGGTTATTCCCCCCAGTGAATTTCTTGGCAGACAAAAGATACTACCCCTGCAGAGGAGAAAATTTCTGTGAAACCCCAAGATGTGCAGGATTAAATTTTTGGTGGGGGTGGAGGTGGGGGAGGGAAGAAATTAGGACTAAGTATGCTCAATAGCCCCAATTGTTGGTGGATCATTGATAGGAAACAGAAAGTTGGAGAAGGAGAATAGAACGAAATATTCCAAGCACAGGAGCAATCCATATGCCATATGGCAGATCTCACCAGACAGCCATGCTCAAAGGAGTTTTTCTTTATATCCTGGATAAAACTTTGGAGGGGGAAGCCTACTAGTGAATTTCTTAATTGAGCCACTGTACATATTAAATAGATTTAATCAATTGATTAGATATCTATGCTGCCTTTCCTTCAGGAGCTCAAGGCAATATACGCAGCTCAACCACTACCCATTTTTCCTTATAACAACCCTAAGAGATAGTTTGGGCCAAGAATGTTTCTGATCCCAAGTCATCTGATAAACAGGTGATACAGGCAGTTACGTAGATGATCCTACACAAAAGGTGCCAGGTTTTGAACTTCCTCGCCATTGGTCAACTCTGAACTCTGAACCAACATGGTATCTGCCAGGATGCATTGTTTAAGTGGGGGCTTTTCTCTACCCCTCAGTGTGACTGTGGTGCACTTTGGCAAAATATCCATGTCCGAATGTCCATCAAGAGCTTACACGGGCCATATGTCTGATTTTTTCAACATAGACCACCCTGTCCTTGAATGGCTGGGTGGACTGGACATTAATCACTGTATGTATTTGCCATACACTAAATAAATAAAAACCTGATGAACTTCCATCGCTGAGGATGGTGGACGAGAACCTGGCTTTCTCTGAACCTACTCAAGATATCACCCATTATACCACAGAGACTGTTTATTTTATTTTTTATTAGGGTAAGATAGTGTCATTATAGCAACTAGCTTTTGAATGACAGAGGATCCTGTCTGCCTTCCTGGAGAAAGGAAGGCAGCTACAAAATATAAAATGGGCAGCTACAAAATGAAATGCTTGATGAAAAAAAATGGCTTTTGCCAAAAGCAACTGCCTTATTTTAGAATAATTATACTGGAATCATGGCCACACACAGACATACATATTTCTGTCAGTATGATTATTAATGTAAGTCAAACTAGCTTCTCCACACACGCCTGTGACACGAGGACTGATCTGAAGTCTAGTCTTTTAACTTACAAGCTTGATTCCTAATTGCTGGAGATTGTTCAAAGACATTTTACTGTTTGAAATGAAGGACAAAAAGACATTTTCCTCATTCCCCATACAGACATTCTTTGATAGCATCCTGGGAGACAGTTTTATCTAAGAGAAAAACAATCACTGAGTTTGCATAACATATTTACCCATGCTGAACTTATCCATGGTTTGCTCACCGATTCAAAGGACCGGATTTCCATAACATGTTTGTCTGGAAAGTAATCATACAGATTGCCATTGCACAATCTGCTAGGTTAAACTATGGTTGTTTTGATTTATACAGCTCAGTGTGCCCAGCCACAAAATGCTCCAAAGTCAAGCAGCACGTTTTTAAACTAGTTCTCATGTAAAAGCTCATAAAAACAGGTGCGACTCACTTAATGACCACCTCACTAGAAGTTCCTCTCCCAATTGTGGATATAAGTCAAGGACTACCTGCAAACATTTTCCTCTTTACTATATTAAAAGGAGGAGGGATACATCTTTAGTGTCATTCCTAGAATATTCAAAAGCATTATTACCTCAACAATCCTCACAACAGTCTTTTCAATTATTATTCCCATGACACATAAGCAGGAGAGGCTGAGAGATAACCTCTTGATTAAAATGGTTTGCTAGTGAACTTAGTTGAATAATGGGCATATTATTGTTCACCACTTTACCTCCTCAGTGACTTCACACAGTGTGTTCATTTGACACTGATGAAAAATCACACAAATAACCATTGAAAAATCACACTGCTGGTTTGTTGAAGAAATAGATTACTTCAGATTTGCAAAGTTTACTTTTGTTTTTCTAAAAAAATACCCAGGACACAGGTATAAAACACATGCATTTAAAAAGAACAATTTCATGTCCACAAATTGATTACAGAACTGAATTGTTTAACTTCCTTCCACATACAAAAAAAAATGTGTTTCTGATTATTTCCAACTTTGTCCACTGTAGTTTAAAGTACGTGGAGACAATTTTGTTTCTGCAAATCAGAAATTCTCTCTCAGAGGTCCATTGCTACCACCCATTTCTCAAGCTTAATGCCATTTCAAGCACAGTAACAATTTTCAATGGGGGCAAAGCACTGTAAACTTTGCTGGATGGTGCAAAACTGCTCAAAGCATGATGCAAAACTGCTCAAAGCATGATGATCTTTCACTTCTCAGATCATCTTTTGCTCCCTTCTTAGATAAGAACAGTAACCATGATCTTTTTTAAGAACTACCTTTAATCAGATCAGGATTCTACGCCTGCATTTTGTTCTTAAAAACAATAAGATCTTAAGCCCAGAGAATGACAGTAGAACGAGCAAGTGGGTATCTTACTCTTTATTTGTATTACCCAAAATATATATTTCATTTGATTTAAAAGTTGCAAAGTATTCTTTTTATAAATCAGACTAGAGCCAATTTAGCTTCTTAGCCTGACTTTAGGCAACTTTCTTCTTATTCATAAATATTGGCTACTGTTCTAAACAGAAATTATTTAAATTGCTTATCTCCATTGGCCTGGAGTTCAAAAAACATTGTAGGCTGTCAGCCAAATGTCCAGGTAAAAACAATTCATTTCTACTCTTATGAATGCTAGAAGTATTGCTGATAAATCATATTCGATTTCATGAATTTGCTTTGTAAATGTTTTAGAATGCAACAAATTTTATAAATCTAAAATCATGTTCATTTTTAATTATTAATATATTATTTAATTATTAATATATTATTAAACAGATATCCCCAAGGAAGAGTACATTTGCTATTAATGCAACAGGATCTGTTATTTTTTCTTTAAATTACTCTTTCTTTCCAAATATATTTCTGGCTCACTCATCTTTGGAAAGCGTCACCTTAAACTCAAATATGTGGTTGGGGTATTCATGCACCATTGGTTATCATGATTACATTTCTCAAACATTTGCATACTCAGAAGTGGTTTCCATGGTGAAAAAGAAACCTTGAAAAATTACCTATGAACTTCCCTAGTTGAATAATTATAGTGCTTTTTTCCTTAAAAAATCTCCACAATAAATCCAGTCCCTTAGATATTTTGGGTATCTGAACTGCCACCATAATAACCGAAATATGCACAAAATTATTGGAAATTCTTTTATATCTGGACAAATATATAGTGGGCTTATGCATTACAATAAGCCATGATACATTTTGTTTAGTTTGAACTTAGCATTCTGGATAAAGTCAGTCCCTATGGTTTGCAAAATAGGCAGGCTTCAGTATATCATAGTATACAAACCAGTGATTGCGCTTATGCAACAAGCTAATCACATTTTGGATAAATATGTGTTAACCCAGATTATTTATTAATTTACTCAGTGTTGTCTTTCCTGACTTGAAATAGCACTCTCAACCCTCAGGTATACATACATATTGCTTTTTCTATGTGTTCTATCCTCTGCCCCTTTTTGTCTTGGTTGCAACTTGGCCCTTTCTTCCTTCAAGACCTATGCTCTGCTATATAGTAGGTTGTTTTTTGTTTTTGACGCCTCAAGCATTGAAACAAGGGGCAGTCCTGTAAACAGTCTATGAGCACAGCCTAAGCACACAAGTCACAATATAGATAACTGTGCCTGGCTAACCAAAAAGAATTTGGTTAGTAGGACCACAACTGAAGCACTACCAAACATGTGAAAGAAAACCAAAGCTCTTCTTCAATAGTTAGGCAGTTTGGTCTATGCATATTGGGGTGAAGGGAGTACAAACTGGAGACAAAGCAGAGTGAAGACATTCCTGATCCATTTCCCACCAACCATTTCAGTGGTTCTAGGTCTCTCTCCCCAAAATATTTTCTTTCCCATCACTATTAGGCCCCAAGATTATCTCACCCATGCACTCCAGTTCCCAGAACTGAGAAAACAGCTGGTAGGGATCTGTAATAAAGAAGTATGAAATGAGAGGGAAGAAAAAAATGTTTGTTTTGCTTCCAAAGTATTCATTCGAAATAATTTATGTCTTCCAGAGATTTGTTCTTTTTTTGAAAATACTGAATGAAAATTCACTCCAACTCCATATCAATCTTCTTGTAATTTTTTTCAACATGACTTCAGTTTTCAACCTTCCCCTGAATCAAACAGTTTATCTACATCCTGAAGGGTTTAAAACTATTCTGTTTAAACCATCCAACTGTAGTTCAACTAAAAGAATAGCCTGGTCAAGACTCAGTGGTGTGATCCCCTCTCTCCTAAATCCAGCTTTTCAAATGCTTGATTTACCCCACTCCAAAACAGAAAAGTATTTTTTCTTCATGAGTACAATCAATAAACTTAAGGAGGTTAAGAAACATGGGAAGAAAACACAAAAGCAAAACCCAGCATTAAATCAAATTAGACAGCCTGGTGTTGTTTAAAGGGGGAGAAACAAGCTCAAGATCCATGAGCTCACTGTGGTCTGAAGACAGTCATTATCTTTCAGGTCAATCTACCTCATAGGGTTATTGTTGGGGGGGATAAAAAGGCCTAAAGCATACCACTTGAGCTTCCAAAGTACAGGCAGAATATAAATAAAGCCAACAGACAAATAATATAGCTAATATCTGATTTCATCTGATATTAAAGATGTAGAAACAGAGAGATATTGCTTGCGAATCACCAGTGTGAAGAAAAGGCTTCAACCCAACTCAAAAATTATACTTCTGTATTGCTGGTTAATTAATCCGTGGTAATTTCTAGTTCCCTATTCAGAACTACAAGATAGTCTGAGCTTCATCTTTTCATTCACATAAGCCTACTCTGAAAAAAAGGGAATCCATTTCTTTGATTATTTTGATGAAAAAGCAGAATTGCTACCATCCGCTTGAGCCAGTCCCATCACTAGTCCTTACTTACCTACAATTAAACATGGTTGATTAACCTTCGGCGGTATATTGCCCCAAGATAATAACTCCATCCAATTCCCTTAGGAGCTAATGGTTTCTTATAAGTGCCGAGCCTAGAACACTCGCCCGGCGTCTCCATTCCACCAACGATGTCCCACAGTTCTTGTCCAGCGCTCATCTCAGTCCTTGAAGGTGACCGGGCGGAATTCCTTTCCCATAGCTGCCCTCCCCACAAGGCATCACAATGTCCACCTCTTTACGATAGCCAGCAGACCGCGTTACCTTCCCCCCACCCGCACTCCCCCTCTGCCCAGGAAAACCGCGCAAAAGCTCAACTCACCATGGCGCAGTCAGGCGGACGCACAGACGGGACGGGCTCGCCTATCTGTGGCTGCCGCCTCCAGTCGAGATTCCGCGCGTTGCGTCCCCTTCCCCGCCTCGGCCTGCTAGCCCAGCCTGGAGCCACCCCCTGGCAAAAATCCCGGCCCCCGACACCGCGGCTGCCTATAGCTGCAGTCCCCGCTGGAGCCCGAGCACGTGGAGAAGCGACTGCGGCAGCACTGAGTGAATGGGGAAAGGAGAGGAGGGGGAAAACAGACTCGGACGTCGCTTTTGCTCTCCGCCTCCTACAAGTACCCTTGAGAAGAGAGCCGCGAGTCCTTCGAGAATATCTCAGCTCGATTGGGAGTCGCCACTCCAGACGGTTCACTCGGCGCTTTATATTGCGTCGGAAGTAGTTAGGGGAGTGCTTCTGAGCTTGTGCAGAGTGTATTTCTCTTGGATCAAAGAAAACGATAATCCACACCTCCGTGTTCGGCAAGCAAAGTTAAAACAACTGTCTGTATCACGCCAGGTAGATTACATTCTGGCATTTTTTTGAAACCCAAACTTTGTTTTCTCTCTGAAAGAAATATATAAAAACGTTTTAAGTAAATCGTATCTTTGGAGACTCAGTGCGATGCAGTAATTAGAGGATTGAATTAGGAGGGGAAACCAAATCACCTTGATGCTGTCAGTGACTGGACTCACAACAACTTAACCTGGTTACTTAATTCATTTGTGGGTTTCTGCAATGAATCGTAATTTAACTCAACCTGAATAATTAAAACATCTGAAAGGCACACATATAGCTCCTCTAAAGCAGCAGCCAGGCCTTTATATCAGCTGGTTGTGAGCAAAACCCAGACAACAAACTATGGTTGAGAGCTTAGTTTGAACCCAGTCTTTCTGTTGTTAAGATGTGTGATATGAACAATTTTTGTTGTAAATACCAGCAAAACCATGATTTAGATTATTGTGTAACAAAACCAACATCTTTCAGTCCAATCTATTGTACTTTGCAAAGATGTTGAGAGGATATAGCAGAGACCAGCATTGTGTAATCTATATTTAGTTATTGGAAGAGAGATGAAATATAAATGTAATCATAAAGAAATGTTCTTAAGTGGAGCAACTTTGAAAATTGCTGGTTCATGTTGCTTTTAGGTAGTATTTGAATTACTGTAAGCCAGAGGTGGCCGTCTCCTTGGTTACAGTTGTTAGAAGACTGGGCAGCATGTAAAATAGGACAGGTTATTGCACCTCTAATAGTTGTGTAAAAAAAAAACAGGAACACTTTAACGTGCATGCTAAATGAGGTAGATGCCGGAGTGTGCAAACCAGGATTTACTTCTTAGCAACAAGAAGCATGCTGGGGATCATCTACTTAAACAAAAATGTAATTTGTCTTTTAAAATACAGTATCAATAACTACTACCACAATTATTTAATCCCTAATCCTATTTATCAGTTTCATTACTAAAACTGGACAGTACAGCGAGTCCTCGAGTTACAACATTCATTTAGTGACTGTTCAAAATTACAATGGCACTAAAAAAGGTGACATATGACCGTTTATCACACTTATAACTGTTGCAGCATTCCCATGGTCATGTGACCAAAATTTGAACAATTGGCAACTGACTCATATTTATGACAGTTGCAGTGCCCTGGCGTCATGTGATTAGTTTTTGTAAACTTCTGACAAGCAAAGTCAAAGGGGAAGTCAGATTCACTTAACAACTCTGTGATTAACTTAACTGCATTGATTCACTTAACAACTGGGAAGAAAGGTCATAAAATGGGGCAATCTTCAAATTACCAAAGTAGGGATTTCCAAAGAACTATTAGGGACCAGGATTCTGGGGAAGTGAACCAGATGGTTGGCTTGCTCACTAGTTGCTCACTCATAACTCTGCACATGCCAAGAGGCAGCTGGATAGGACCCATTCACAAAGGTGTCAGGGTAAACACACACACACACACACACACACACATGACTGCAGTCAAAGTCCTATCTTGCTTTTAGCTAAACAATATTCAATAGTGCAGTTACAATCACCATGCTGATTTTTAGATCACCCCTATGGACCTCTCAAACTCTCCCTCCTTAGGTGCCCAGCAGTTCAATTGGTTTGTGAAAAATGGATCATGGCTTTAAAAGTGGCTCAATAAAACAGAACCGTGCTAGTAGCTACCTTACTAATATTTAGAAAACTGAAGTACTGAACAGATCTTGACTGTGTTGTCCCAAGTGTAATCCCGTACAATAATCCCACAAAGAAAAATCAAACTGGAAGGTACCGTGATAAATGTCTAAAAATGGGCTTTTATGAGAAATTGGGATCTCTTGTTGCAAGGCCCTTTGTGCTCCAGCCAGCAAGTCTGTGTTAAGAATTAACAATAGAATAGAATAGAATAGAATAGAATAGAATAGAATAGAATAGAATAGAATAGAATAGAATAGAATTATTGGCCAAGTGTGATTGGACACAAGGAATTTGGTGCATATGCTGTCAGTGTATATAAAGGAAAAAAAATGTAAAGAATCATAAAATGCAACACTTAGTGATAGTCATAAGTTACTAATAAGCAATCAAGCCATATTGGAAACAAATAAAACAATATAAATTGTAAAGATACAAGCAACATGATTATAGTCATAAGTGGGAAGATAGGTACTAGGAAGTGTTATTATAATCTTGTAGTAGATGAATAATAGTAATACAGTGACATGAAGTACATAAAATAATTCAATTGGTAAATAATTTTCAAGGAATGATTTAGTTTTAAAGGGTCTTTAAAAATGGAAGGGATGGAAAGAAGTGCACAATCATTACTTATTTGTGGGTGGGGAAAAAAACAAAGGCAAAAAATCTGTGGAATGGTGTTTAATTGGCTGGAATCCACTTTTGTTGAATGTTTATTTAGACCACAGTTACAGGATGTTTGATATATGTTACACTTTGATTAGGTGGCTTTAATGAACATTTACAAATCCATAATCATATTTGTTGTATTTATACCAGAACTATTGATACCTAGGTAACATACAAAGCATCAACCCTGAAGAACGAAGGCAGGGGTTTCTTTTAACCAGGCATTTTGTCCTAATAGTTGCCATCTGCCTCTCTCCAGATTGTCTATAAATTTATTTTTTGTTTATCCTAAATATTTGGCAATGATATACTTCCTCTGAACATGGAATGTGGTTTAGAAAAGGTATAACAAGTGCAGAAGCATTTGAGGGGGAAAAAGAGATAAATGTCCAAAATTGGCTTCCAGGTGTTGTTTATTGTTATCCAATAAAGTAAATTAACTTCTGCCACAGTTTTTAATCTTTTTAAACTTTCTGTGTTTGCCAATGCAGAATCACAACCAACCAACATAACTATGGGATAAACGGTACAAATTCTAAATTAACTTTTGTTCTCCAATTTCTAGTAATTAACTGCTGGGCCACACACAGACATTCTAATACAGACCAGCATTGTTTCAGTATATGTCAATAGGAGGAAAGGGGTACTTTTTTCAAGATTTTTCTTTTAGTGTCTGTTTGGATTCCAGGGAAAAAAATATATAGAAAGCAAACTAACTAAACTTTCCAGCCGATTTGGTTCCAGCTGGGCTAAGCCCGAAATGAAAGAAGGACAGGGTAGAATAAGGATTTTTAGATCCGAGAAGCTGGCAGTTGCAGAGAAAGTCAAATGACTTTGCTTTCATCAGCTTCCAGACTTTTAGCTAGAAGAACAAATAAGTTTAGGGAGTATTTTTTTTTTTATTAGAATCCTATAGGCAAGAAAAGCAGACTGTGAGGTAAAGACAGCTTTCTGCCAACCCAGTTGGGCCTCCTAGCCTCCCCTTCCCCCTTCCTACATCCCCCTCTTGCCTGCCCACTCATTTCCTGCCAGTGTCATGTAGCCTCTTCTCTATGTAGGCTCTGCACTGAGGTTTTTGCCTTGGTTCCCCTTTTAAACATTGCTTCCCTGCTGCTCAGTTCCCTGTCACCTTCATCCCCTTAGACTGGTGCCACTTACATCCATCCTTCCCTTAGTTTAATCTTAAGGAATACAGAAGAATCTGTTTCTGCAAAACAGTATGAATAACAGGGTACATGAAAATCACATTGTCAGGGCCTAAATATGACTACTGTCATGATGGGTTATAGGTAAAAATTTTGTTATTGTTGTGGGGTTGTTGTGGGGTTTTTCTTTTTTTTTCTTTTCTTTTTTTGCTTGTCTTCCCCTCCAAGAGGATAAGTTAATTCTGCTTACTCTACACTTTGGATGTTGGCTGTACTCATATTCCCACTTGTTATTCACCGCTTACTTTAATAACATTTGTTTTGAAAGGAAAAAAAGAACTAGATCCAATTTTTTTTCCTTGCAGTGGAATCCAGGGTAGACTATAAATTGGAAATCTAGCCAGGTACAGATAGTCCTTGACTTATGACCACAAATGGAACCAGAATTTCCGTTGCTAGGCAAGATGGTTTTTAAGGTAAGTTACTTTTTTCAGTGTTATTGTAACTTTTAATAGTCATTAAATGAATGGGTATAAATTGAGAACTACCTATATCAACTGTCCTACACTTTGTTTAGCCCCCCCCCCACCAGGTTCCTGTAGTAAATGCCTTTGCACAGATATGTCATATGCATCCTTGTGTCCCTCACATCCAGTTTCCTAAATGACCTATTCCTCTGAACATATTTAAACTGCTTTTCCTTACTTTTCTGAGTCATTATATCAGCAACAAGCCATCAGGATTAGAGAAAACATCTTGTAAGAGATAAGCTCCAGCATGTTTAAGTTCAAGAATCAAGATTTCTTCCAGAATTGCTTTCCATTCTAACTTACTCCCAGGGGAAGTTTTCTTCTAGACTCTGCATCTTTTTCTGGTAAATGTTGTCAAAAGATTCAGACTATGCCACAGTAAAATGAGAGTTCTAGTCTCCACAAAAACCTGAAAAATAAGATTGAAGACAGCAAAATGTGTGTGCATACAGTGGAATTAAATCAAAATGTTCTTGATCCATAGAAATCTGAATCTCTTTATAGAGGTCCTTCAGAGTGAGTTACACTTGTGGTGGCTATATGGAGATGTCCCCCTAGTCTCCTTGGCAACAAAACAGGACAAAACAGTCTG